ATGAAGATGATTAAGACGTTAATAAAAATACTAGTGTATTTCTTACATAGCTTATATAAATCGTCCTTAACTTCTGTTACAACCGCTAATACATTTCTTGGTGATCCACGAGCACGATCTACATCTGGAATACTCAGACGTACTGTAGTTCCAACATTAAGTTCATCATATTTTCTATTGGATGTTTTAACCATTTTTAGTGCCTGTTTTTCTAAATTGTGTGCAGATGATTGACGTGCGTCAAGTATATTTTGTTTTCGTTGATCAACTAAATAAATACATTATTAACTTAAACATATTTAACTATATTACATTTTTTTTACCAAGTTCTAAGTCACTAGTCAGTTGTTCTAAGTTACTAGTACACGGTACATTTTCTTCGGCTCCCTCGTCTTTGATTGACTTCAAAATACATTCAATATCTTCCTCAGATTTCAAAGAGCTAATTTCGTCTACCGGTAAACCAATTGATGCAACACCTAAACGAGCTGGACAACCAAACATCGCCTCATAAGGTGATCGACCTATACCTAAAAAGAATCAATTAAAATTATTTTTAAAATTAATTATTTATCATACCAGAATGAAAAGCACGATTTTTTCGAAATTGGATAAATTTTAATCCAGATGGCCAATCTGTTGATTTTGTTTCCGCCATCCATGTCGCCAACATATCTTCCACGTCCCGGTTCGCACGTTCTATAGACCCCTGACTCTGACTATGTCTTGGTTTTCCGTGCACTATTTTAACATCACCCCACATAGTATGTAATTCATTAATTACACTATTAACAAACGCTCTCCCATTATCGGAATGTAGAATTGCTGGTGCTCCAAATGTTGTATAAATTTCCATTAAGTTATATGCTATTTCTTCTGCTCGTTTAGTCTTTAGTGGTTTAAGTATAACAAATTTCGTCAAGTGATCCTGATAATTCATTATAAATCTGTAACTGTTTATACTCTGCGATTGCATATCAATTAGATCGATTTGTGCACGCGAGTTGTATGCTGAATGCAAAATTGGTTTGGAAACAAGACCTCTTTTTGGATTAGATGATTTTTTATGACAGTCGGTACAAAGACTCAAAAAAATCATTATTGTTTCTTTTGTTATATTACAATATTTTAGTTTTAATTCAGCTATCATACGATCGCGGCCACCATGGCCGATAGCTATATGAGTAGAATGAAGAATATTGAATAGCTCTTCATTTTTAACAAAATAACGTATACTGTCATTATCATGGTTCATGGCTTTAATTAAGCGCTCTTTATCATTTATTAAAATAACGTCGTACTTACGAATATTTCTATAATCTTTTTTGCATTTTGTTTGAGTCTTCGATAATTTTACATTTTCTATGCGACGATCGTATTCTTCATTATTCATGAACGATTTGTTGTCATCACGTTTAGAATCAATAATTAATGAAATTTTTTTATTAAATTCATTTTGCATTTTATTTAAATCCATTTTTTAAGCTTTTAACAAAATAAATACGTACTGCACTACTAATAAGTAGGGCTCGGAAGTTGTTGCATTTGCATGATTTTTTTGAACCATTAGATTTATTGCTAAGCAAGCTAGAAATTCATTCCAAGACACTACGAAAAACATATCAAAAGTTTTTAGTGCATATTTTTGCATATTTAGTGATTTTTAGATTTTAGAGCATATTTCTTAATTTTACAATTTTTTAAAGCATATTTTATAATTTATGGAGATTAGGAGATTCAACATGAAAATTTGTAAATAAAAAAATAAATACATTCATATTCAGAGACCTTACTAAATATTCTTGTATCGTATTATTCAAATTTCCATTTGACATTAAAAACTGTTTTTCCCCTATCGGTTAATATGATATAATATTAATATATGTACATAAATTACAACTACAGATAGCTTTATCTAAAATAGAATATTATACAAATCTAAAATAGAAACAGCTGCTATCGAAGTACGACGATTTTCTATAAATACTTTTATAGGAAAATAACTCAATGATTATTGACTATTGTTAATGGCATTTATAGACCTACCGCTTAGATATTTTTGTCAGTTCCGGCTTATACGTCCGTGTTATCTGTTGTAGTTAGTAGTTCTATGCGTCATTCTTGTTTCAATTACCTACTTATATTATTTTTATTTCATAATGCCGAAAACCAAACAATCTGCGAAAAATCGTTTGAATAGTTTTGTTTTGGAATATGGTACGGATATATTCAAAACCGACGGAAGTATTTTATTCTGTAAGTTATGTGAAGTGAAAGTTAACAGTGATCGAAAATTTGTGGTCACTCAACACGTTAACACTGAGAAACATAAACGAGCAATTATTAGAAAAAACGTAAAAAACACAAATTCTGAAATTCAACAGCTAGTAACTAATACTCCGAAAAAGTGTCTTTTTTCACACGATTTATGTAAAGCATTATTGTCAGCAAATATACCACTTTACAAAATAAGTAATCCTCAATTAAAATCATTTTTAGAAAAGTATACGTCAAGAGAAATTCCTAGTGACTCGACACTACGCAAAACTTATGTCGACGACATATACGAAGAAACTATAAAAAATATAAGAGAACAAATTAAAGGAAATAAAATATGGGTGTCTATCGACGAAACAACAGACTCTGAAGGCAGATATGTAGCTAACGTTATAATAGGAACTTTAAATACTGACGCACCGGGAAAAACTTATTTGCTAACAACCGAAGTTTTGGAAAAAGCAAATAATTCAACGATAGTTAAACTTTTTGATCATTCAATGTTCGTCCTCTGGCCAAACGGAATTCGTCATGATAACGTCCTATTGTTTGTGACCGATGCCGCACCATACATGGTGAAAGCTGGGCGAATACTTCAATCACTGTACTCTAAAATGATACACTTAACGTGTCTCGCACACGGTATCCATAGAGTATTATTATTTTATTATTTATTTATTATATTATTTATTATTTATACTATTATTTTTTTGTTTAAATTATGATTAAAAAATATAAATAAAAATAACTTTTATTACTTTGTTTTTTTTTTATTAACAAATTTAAAAAAATATTTGTGCTAATGAAAATGTTGTGTAAAATAATTAAATATAAGTGCATATTTTTAGAGCATATTTGTACTTTTTTAAGCGCATAAGTGCATACATATTTAGTACTTTTTAAGTGCATTAAGTTCCGAGCCCTACTAAGGCTCGGGCCACACGATGCGTTCTTGCCGCATGCGGCGGCGTGCGTCGTCACCGCATGCGTTGGGTTTTTGTACGGAACGTAAAGTTTAAAATAGAACAGGCCACACGACGCGGTGTTGCCGTATGCGGCGGGTTTTCACCGCAACATGCTGCGTTGATGCGGCAGCACCGCACACTGTTATCAATACAAAACACGTGTATTCCAATTATACCGATCACACGACGCGGTGAAAACGCATGCGTTAGATATATTCGTTTTGAAAAAACATTTTGATTAATATCTTTACAAATTATTTATTATTTAAAAATGTTTGATTTTGAAAAATTGATTTTGGAGGTAGAGTCTAGACCTTGCTTATGGGATGTAAGCTCTAGTGATTATCATGATAAACACATGAAATCATTGGAATGGAATTCAATTGCGGCAATTTTATATTCTGGTTGGGAAAATTTGTCAATCTCACAAAAAGAGGAAAGAGGTAATTTATTAGAAAATACAATTATATTAAATATATTAATCAAGAAAAAAATACTAAAAGTGGTTCTGGTTTTTTCAAAAAGAAAAAAATACCATTTTGCCGACATGCTGTCATTTTTGAAACCAAATTTAGAAAAAAGAAGGTGAATCAAATTATTTTATTGAACATTTTTTATTTCTTTGTTATTAATTATGTGAATATTTTTTAATATAGTACATCAGGTAATTTTGAAGAAGAACGTGCAGTATTAGATGATAATATTTCACATGACCACAGTTTGGACCAAGAAGAAAGTTTTAATATCCAATACGAAGACTCTCCACAAAGTACATCATTTACTCTAAATAATTCAAAATCAAAAAAAAAAATCAAAAGATCCTACAATGAATCCATTTCAAACAAAATTGATTTCGTTTTTACAAAAACAAGAAGAAAGAGACTCCGATGAACTCTTTTTAATGTCGTTACTTCCAGAAATAAAAAAATTAAGTGAAGAAAAGAAATTAGATTTTCGCATGCACGTATTGCAGTTTTTGAAACACGAACAACATATTCAAAACTATAATCAAATTAACACTCAATATCCTTCTCCATATGTTCACCCCACACACCAATCCACTCCGACATTCAATCTATCAACTTATCCGTCCAATATTTATCCAAGCCACTTCAGAAATGCTTTACAATTTCCATCTTTAAATTCATCTCAGTCTCAAACTTCAGTTGTTTCGTCTCAAAATTCTCCAGAACCACTTCAAGCATTGCTTTATTCTGATCCGACTTCAATCAAATTTCCCCAACAAACTTCTTCCGCTCAGTGTTCACTTGCATATGAGCCACATGGTGGTCCACATCAACAAAGTTCTTCTTAACTTAATTTAATAAAAAAAGAATTAATATTGGTATAGGTACCTAATAAAGTTAATTTTAATCAAAATACATTTTTTATTTAGTGCTTGAAATCAAAAAATGAGGAAAAGGTTCTCTCTTTGTGAATATGAAGTAACTAGCATTTTATTTATTTATTTAAAAGTTGAATTTGTTTAGATTTTTTGTTTGAAAACAGTATTTTATTCAAATTATATAATTTGTTTTTAATAAAAATGATTATGTATATTCTATTATTAAATATATTTTAATAAAGTCTTTTAATAAAATTAAACATTTTGAAGTTGAAATGTTGTGTTACGTTTTAGAAGAAAATTTGATCACGTCGTTTCTTATTTTGTATTAACAAAATATGTGATACATTTAAAAATGTTTAAAAATTACGTCTTAATTTATTTATTTTCGAATTAAAATTATAATTATTTACTTACCTCAGAGTCACAGTCAGTCTTTCTTCCGCACTTATTGCATTACGCGTATTGGTATTCTCTTTTGTCAAATGTACTCGAAGTCTTGTTAAAAGTTCATCAAAAGATTTTAAGGACATCCGAAAATACTCGTAAAATTTTTCAGGATGTTTGCGAATATTTTCATAAAAAGCTGTAAATTTTTTTTTTTTTTCACGGTCGGAGTTCATTGGATGGACCCAGTATCTTCGTTCTGGTGAAGCGAGACTATTCAGCTCTCCGGCTGCTTCTGCCACACACAGAACTTGTAATAAAGTTTTACTTGACATAATAAAGCGTTGACAAAACAAACATTTCAATATAACACCGAGTAGGAAAGTGATCGAAATTTCGTTTGCCTATGTTTGCCTAATATTTAAAATTTTAAAAATATCTTATCGCATGCTGCCACACCGCATCGTGTGGCCGAATATGTTATTGCGGTGCCACCGCAATTTATTTCACCGCATGCGGCAGCAACGCACCGTGTGGCCCGAGCCTTAGATCTCGGTTAACCTTACCTTGCGGTTATCGCAATCGACATAAATCCGTGTTTGATATAATTTCATGTTTCCGCACTGATACACAAAATAATTTTATAAGTTTATTTTATATACCCATGTGTCTCCGTTTCTCATTTAATTTGAGTTTGACAGCATTATTATTAGTTCGATAGTGTCTACTATATAGAGTGTAAATGACTATAATATATAGTTTTATTTAATTAATTTATAATAATTATAATTTGTATCAAAACAATATTTATCAATTTTTACAGTAAAATATACAATCATTTAAAAAAAAAATTAATAAATGTCATTTTATGCATTTTTTTTTATGTATTTTTATTTTTTAGATCATCAAATTCCGGGCCCTATTGATAACATTGCCTAATAAACTACGGAAATGACGACAATTCCTAGGCGATGATAACATTGCCTTCTGCTTTTAGGAATTGTCAACATTTACTAGGAATTGTCGTCATTTCCTAAATTGTCAACATTTCCGGTAACATATATAAAAGAATTTATAGAATATTCCGAAGAATTTGATTTCATTGAAGGTTTCAAAGACTTAGGTCAATATGGCAGGACAAATAAAAGTGCTAACTGTGTTCTGGTGTTTATGGCTCGAGGTATTTATTCATCGTGGAAATTTCCAGTCGCCTATTTTCTTTCTCATCCTGGTGTTGACAAAATCAATTCAAAAAATTTAATAATTGACGTCCTTAAAAAATTATTTGAAGTAGGATTGTGTCCAAAAGTTATTGTTTGCGATCAAGGCACAAACAATCAAAGTACTTTAAAATCATTAAATATTTCAGAAGATAGCCCATATTTTAATGTTGATAATAATAAAATATTTTCTATATTTGACGTTTCACATTTAATTAAAAGTGTAAGAAATAATTTAATTGAATCCTGTTTTATTAAAGATGATAATATAATCTCATTTGATGACATAAAAAAAAACTTATGAGTTAGACATAAAAAAATTATAAAAGTAGGTCTCTCATTAAAATAACAGATGCTCATATTTATACAAATTATTTTCAAAAAATGCGTGTTAAATTAACCACACAATTACTAAGCAATTCAATGTCAGCAACAATCCGAACTTGCATACAAACAGGACAACTTCTAAGTAGCACTGCTTCAAACACAGCAGATTTTATTGAATTCATTAATAATTTATTTGATTGTTTAAATAGCCGGTCTTTATATAGCCATAATCCATATCTCTGTACATTAACTGATTCAGGTACTGTAAAACATTTTTATTAGAAGCTTCGCAATACTTCACAGATTTACATAAATTAAAAAAAGGAAAATTAACACAACCACCCTTTTTTAAAGGTTTTAAGCAGACCATTAATGGTATATTGCAATTTTTTGAAGAAGAAAAATCTAATGATATAGTATTTTTAATGACCAACCGTTTGAATCAGGATGTATTAGAAAATCTTTTTAGTATTTTTCGACAAAAGGGTAGTTATAACAAGAATCCAACAGCCAGAACGATTAGGACTTCGATAAGAATTAATTGTATTTTTTCTTTATGCACATCTACTAGAACAAATTGTGAGGCAACCTTAGAAGATTACAATCCTATAGTAATTGACCCAATAAGACTTCAATATCAAGTAAATTCAAATGATTCATCATTAAATTCTGATTCTGACACAGAGTGTATTTCTAATTTGTCCCTTTTTTCTTCTATATTATCTGATGAGGACTCTATTAAAAATGTAGATATTGATAATGATGTTACCTTAGAGGACTGTTCTGTTGAATACTTTTCTGGATATTTGGGTTATAAATGTATAAAAAAATTTAATTGTAACTTTTGTCAACAAGAACTGTTTACAAAGAAAAATGTATGTGATAAAAAACAATTACTTCTTCTGAATAAAAACTACACTCCAATAAATGATGCTTATAAATGATATTTGGTGGGCTTAAAGCGCCACCAAATAATTTTAATAATGTTATAAATAAAATTTTAAATGTTTTTTAAAATAATTATAAAAACTATTTTCATAAAAAGAAAATTAAACAACAATTAACTGAACTTGTAAAAAAATAATAATACAATTAAAAAATGGCTAAACGAATCAATGACAAACTGTTTAGAGCATAAGTTGTATATAATTGAACACTTTTTAATATGCAAAATATTTAATAAAACAAAAATGTTTTCATCCACATCAAAATTAGCAAAACTTTCAAAACTAAAAATATTAAAACATATTAAAATAATTACAATTTTATATTTATGTATTCCTTACTTCTTTGTTCTTTATTTTTTTGTACCTATGAGTTGGCTTCATCTGTTTTTCAATCGATCAATATATTTGCTGATACACTGAGTATAGAACTTGCAGAGCCTGCTGATCATGGTGTTTCCTGTGCCTGAGAAGTTAAACATTTTCTTTCTTTGACAAGTTTACCTGTATTGTTTTATTTTTGTAGGTTGCTAACCTTTTGCATCCATATCTTTGTGTTTGTGATGTTGTTACTATAAAATTGTGATATGCAATTGTGTAAATAAATAGTTATATGTCATAACTGACAGTTAAGTTTACCGTATTATTATTGTATTTTATTATATTATGAAATATTCATCAATACCTACAAATATAATGAAAAAAGTATGAAATTATGTCTACTCACATGCATAGTTTTTTGCAAAACAGGTCAAAATAATTGAAAAGGTATCTGGTGCCTGGTATTTAAAATTCACTACTCAAATTATTGAAGTGAAGTATAGAATGTTTTCTGAAAATTATTGTAGGCATTAATAATTAACATTAATAATTCGAAATTGGACTGAGATGGTAATTTAGGGAGGTCATTTTTCGAAAATCTCCATAGTTTTTCCAGAAATGAGGAAAAACTGTTGAAAAACTGAGTAATTTCGGTAAAATCTGTAAAATTCCGCCGTAAACGGATTTAATCATGTTTAATTATCAATTTAATCATATCATTTAAAATAGTAAATCATTAGGTACAAGTTCTAGGAATTAAATATCAATAAAATGTATAAATAACTCTGACCGCAATGGCGCAATGCAATACTGAGTTATGACCACCTGTGGCCCGCCCCGCCCAGTGCGGCAGCGCGCTCGACGCTCGTTCTGTATTTATCTATAAAGATTGTAAAATAATTATTTTTTCTATTATACAACGCATTCTATCGGCAGCTAGAACAAACATAATTTTAGTAGCCTAATATCTCTATACCATGGACTATCTATCTATTCTATAATCAATGATAATACCTGTTATGTGAAAACTTGTCTTTACGCTATCGAAGCTATAAATACTAAGCGATACGGAAAACATAGTACTACTCTGACGGGAATCGAACACGGAATGCAATTTTTTTTTTTTTTTATGATTTATAAACAATTATACATACATACTTTATATTCTTTTAATCGTGAGTACGATGTATTTGCTTGTTCAGTGTTGGAAATAGATAATGCAAAATTTATCTAGATAAAGGTAATAGACAAAAAAAAATTAAAATATTATATTTAGGTATAGATAAAAGATAATTTAATTTTTATTTAGATAAAAAAAAGAAATTAAAAAAAATTTAAGTCAGTGTATAAGGTGTGGTTCGAGACATAGAAAGGCACGTTTGTAATTAAACGTAGAGTTTTGTTTTGGACAACTTGATTTTTTTTAATGTTGGATTTTTTTGCCGAACCCCAGATTTAGGCGTCGTACGTCCAAATAAATTTTAGTAGTCTTTTGTACAGCATTAGTTTAGTACTGATTGAAAATTTATATTTAGAGTTTAAAAAGCAGTTAAGGGAACGAAGGCGAGAGTTTATCTTAATTTTGGTGGTGTGGATATGGTGATTCCACGTTAATCTTTTGTCAAAGTTAACACCTAGATATTTTGTAGAAAGTGAAGTGAGAATTTGGATGTCATTGAAAGTGATTAGAGGACGTAGGCCTTGTTTTAATGTAAAAGTTATATGGCAAATTTTGGATTCATTTATTTTGACTTACCAGTTTTTACACCAGATTTCAATTTAAGTGAGGTGGGATTAAAGTATGCTTGAAGCTGTGAATGGATTTTCATGAAATGAAATAATCGCTTTATCGTCAGCGTATTCTGCAACAAAGGTATTAGTGGAAGTAGGTTGGTCCGCAATAAATATATTAAATAGCAAAGGGACTGCAATTGCACCTTGGAGAACTCCAGCTTGAATTTCGGAGCAGTCAGATAAAGAAGAGCAGTATCGTACAGCGAACTTACGCTCGTGAAGGTAGGATTTGAAAAACAAGTAAAACGTAGGTGGTAAGATTTTCTTTAGTATATAAGGGTGACCATCGTGCCACACTCGGTCGAAGACCTGTGTGACATCAAGGAAAGCTACGGTGCAATATTGTTTTTTTTCTAATGTTGATGCAATTGAGTTTGTGATCCTGTTTATTTGATGAATTGCGGAGTGCCGATTGTGGAAACCAAATTGTGTGTTAGGAATAATTTCGAAGTTATTATTAAGGGGATTTATTTTCTTGAGCACTCATTTTTCAAGGACTTTTGAAAAAAAGGTAGGAAACTAATCGGCCTGTACGATGAGGGAGATTCGGGAGGTTTGCCGGGTTTCGGAATTAATATTATAATAGATTTCCATTGGAGTGGAAAATAGGTAAGGCATGGTGTAGGGTTGAATTGAAGATATAAGTAAGGAGTATTATCGTCTTTTTGAGGAGGTTGTTCGGTCGCGATCGGTGTTCGTCGCGATAGAAGATAAGGCGAGTGCGTTAGTTCCCCGATCAAGACCTGAACCAGTATTATTCGTAACATGTAGTATTGTGCGTAGTAATATCAATTGAACTTACAAATTGATTATTACTTTTATGATTATTTAATAAATAAAATATAATTTATATCTTATTCATAAAGGTGTCGTGTTTGTAACTTTTTAAAATAAAAGTGTTAAACGTAACAGAGGTTTTTGGCGATTTTAAATGTAATGAGGTCAGAACCAGGAGCTTTCTTTTTTGGAAAAATGGAGATATCGTGTTGGGCTTCGGCAGGAAAAAACGCTTTTAGAGGTAGGGACAGAGAGGATGACAGAAATTCGTCAATTTCTTTATGGAAGGTGGGATTGATTTCGGTGACGTGTGGCTTGAAGACCTCGGTAAAGTGGGTTTTGAAGGTTTTTGTTTTATCTAGATCATCTATGGCCCATGAACTATCCCTTTTTTTGAGAAGGGAGTATGAAGATTTGTCTTTTAGAGCTTTTTGGTTGCTCTCCATAATGAGCCATTTTGTGATGTAAGGGAAGATAAATAGTTGGAGAACAATTCGTTTCTAAGCTTTGAGAGTAGTCTTTTTAGGTGTGCGGAGAGGGTGTTCATGCGTTGTCTTTTATCCGAAGGAAATTTGGTAGTTTGCCATACGGCACTTGCGTGACGTTTCTCATTGATTAGAGATCGTATGTGGATAGGAAGATTTGAAAAAAATGGAGGTATGGGTTTGATGTGCGGAGTTGAGTTTATTGCGGTTGATATTATTGAGCTGGTTAAGTTAGATATGGCGATTTCGATATCATTAGGGGTTTTTAGTTTTATGTTTAAATTGGTCTCATTTGTGAGTAGAGTTTGACATTTATTCCAGTCTGTATTTTTGTTTGAGAGTGATGGGTGATTCTTTATAATTGGAGGTGAAGAATCTATAGTGAGGAGTACAGCTAAGTGGTCCGAGTACAAAGAGTTGAAGTTTTCAATGTGATGGAATAGGTTGTTTGGTGCTCTAGATATAAAGATATCAAGGATGTCGGAACGTTTCCTTGAGGATGTAAGCCAATATGTTGGATCAAGTGGAGAGTGAATTTGGCATTGTTCAGTGTTGACGATATGAAGGAGAGTATTACGTCGTGGGTTGCTGGTTCGACAGCCTTAGTGAGGGTATTTAGCATTGATATCTTCATCAAAGATGAATTGTGGCTTAGCTATTTGAAGAAGAGTTTAAATTTATCTATTGCGATCTTATGTTTAGGTGGACAATACGCGGCAGCTGTCTTGAGATTTAGGGTTAGAGATATTGCACATGCTTGTATATATTCTTTACTGTAGTTGGGTAGAGGATAAAATAGAAGGTGTGGATTAGAATCGCGGATCCGACGTGTGCGGTACTATCTGGGTGGTTCGATGTTATCAGTTGGTAGCTGGGGATATTTATCCTAGCACTGTCTGTGAGGGGTGGGATTCCGATATGACAGCTATGTCAATTCTTTTGTCGTGTAATTTAGTTGTTAATTCGTTTGTGTGGTTGAGAATGCCGTTGCTATACCATAAGAGAACATTGAGTGAGTTGCTGATAGTATTATTTATCATTATTGTTTTTAAGTAGTTTTGTCATAACGGTTATACGAAGAGTGGGCTTAGTATCGATTTAAATTCAGCAAGTTATTAAGTGCTGATCTGATGTCAAGTGATTGGTCGGGGGTAGGTGTGGGATTTGGTTTAGTTCCTGAAGTGATATGATCGTAGGAAGTTTGTGATTGGGCATGATTGTGGTGGGGGGCGGAGAGGTCGCCAGTAGGTTAGTTTGGTGAGTAGATGGCATTAAATTTTGAAGGGAGAATTTTAAAGTTGGTTTACAAGATTTTTGAAGTTGCTTGTGTATTTGGCATCCTCTATAGTTGGCAGGATGGCTGCCTTGGCAGAGAGCGCAGGTGGAAGAGTTTTCATTCGGCTTGTCGCAGGAGGACGATTTATGATTTTTACCGCATCGAATGCAGCGTGAATTATAGTTGCAACCACGAGTGTGGCCGTAGTCTGTACATTTCTGGCATTGTACGAACTCACGGCGTTTATGTGGTTCTTCAACCTTAATTAGGTATAAAAAAAAGAGAGGGAGAGCTATCTTTGTTAGACGTTGTTTTATGTTAACTATTTGCAATATTGAAAAGTTAAAGTTTTCCCAGAAGGATTTTATTTCTTCACATGTTGTAGATGGGTAGAGGTTACGTAGTACTACTCTGAAAGTTTTTTACTTTGTGGTTGGTAGGTATGAAATTGTGCATTATTTTAGGTGGTCAAAAAATGAATTATTTGATGATAGCCATCAGAGGTATTGGCTTGGACTTTTGTGTGTTTCTGAGTGGATTTGCAATGAAAACCGTTTTCTTCGATTTGCATAATTGGTTGTAGTCGAGTTTTTGATTAGCAATGAAGATTGGAGATATCTGATCGTTTTTAGGAGGTACTTTAAACATGTCCAAGTTTGTGGATTCGTTATAATTTTGGGTGATTGTTTCGGTTTCTTCTATGCTGCTGTGTTAAAATTAAAAATGTTTGGATTTTGAAGAGCGGCGAATCGATTTGGAGTAAAAAAAGTTTGAGTTTGGATCTGAGTGTTGTTGTTTTTATTTCCCCGGGGCGTTCTGGGAAAGCGGAAACCATCTTCGTCTGAGGAGGCCGGTACTATCGTGTTATTTTTATTTTTATTTTAAAAATTATTTAATTTGGTTGGTTACTCATAGTTATAAAATTATTATAAATGCTGTTGCGTGCTGGTATGTGCCGGACAGTACAATGAGAAATGAGCACACTCAACTGTTCATCTTCGTAATCAATGTAGAATAATAATAATATTTAAATAAATAACTCAAGACTTTAAAATATTAACTTTATTGAAATATTTCCAAGTCAAATTTATTTAATTTGTAAAATTATTCTAAGTCCAAATAATTAATTTATAAAACAAACTGGCGTGAAGGTGTGTGCATTTACAAACTAAAACATATCTGAAAAAGAGCCTGTTCTTATATACCCTCTTGAACCCTTGCCTGAACCCTCTTATATACCCCGATCTCATAGAAATCTCTAATCATTTGGTCATTTTACCCGTGTGCACCACCATATGTGGTTATTGATATGTGAATTCCTTATATGAAGTTTTCTTTGTTAGATAAGGATGTGGCCTATGTTTAATAATTCATGAGTGTAACTTCTGATTATTTGTCGCAATATATTCTAATATATTCATCCGTATAATCATTATTTTATACGTGATTTATACCTAACATAACTGGTCCATTCGGTTAGTCATTATTTTAATATATTTACTATTTTCCACTCCTGTGTTTCTCACTCGTGTGTATTCAAGCATTGAAAACAAATGCATTGACTGTAACACCCTTATGTGTAGTTAAGAGTGAATCCTGATTATTATATTCCTAACTGTGAACCACCATGTTTTATAGCTAACCATAGTGGAATCATTGTGTTATTGTAATGCAATCGATATAGTATTTATATATATCTGTAACATTATGTGATAGAATGTATGCCCGTGACATTATAATATGTATGCACATAACAATGCAAGATGAAAATGTGGGTTTACATAGTTTAATTATTGTGGTTAATTAGTTGCTTGTATCTCTGTTTCTATTTCGCCGTGAGTTGGAATTATAATATAATTAAAATATACCGCACGGGACGTTTTTGATAGGTGTTGAAAGGGTTAAATTATCTCCACGGACGGCATGTTGTGCACCGTGACCTCAAACCGGAAAACATCCTGCTATCTGCTAATGACGTCATCAAAATCTGTGACTTCGGATTGTCTCGTTTGAAATGGCAAACTGATCGACCGTTGGATATGAGCACCAACGTAGGCACCTTATGGTACCAAGCCCCGGAAATGTTGATGGAAAATTCGAATTATGATGCTATGATCGATATTTGGTCTGTTGGTGCGTATTATTAATTGTTTATTGAAAATACTTTTCGTTAGCATTATATATAATCTTAAAGTAAAGATGTAAATATATGTAAGTACTGTAAGTATCTTACAGTAAAAAAAGATTTTAAAACGACCAATTTATAATCTATATTGATTTTACTTGCTGTTTATACGAACATATGCCAATATATAAACAGTGTGTAATGAATAAGACATGAATTTAATCTTGATAATTTTTTTAGTCTTTTCGTGTTATCATAAATTGCAATACATGCTCTGTACATGTGATTTTTTCAAACTTTATATATCAATACGTGCTGTAGGAATTATTTTTACGGAATTGGTCAACACATTACCTTTGGTCACCCAAAACTCGAATGCTCATCAGTTATCACACCTAGTAAAAATACTGAAATGGAGAACAGAGGACTTGGTGGATGTCAACAATTATTTACGCGAATCTGGTTATAACCAAAACGTTGGAAATCAATTGAAATCGTCATCGAAATCATATGCAGTAACCAACACTGTTGCAGAACTTAGAAAAGTGTTCCCCCAATTTACTTTAAGTATGCTAGACCTAGTCGCCAGTTGTCTGCAGCTGAACCCAGCAAACCGCAAAAACGCTGAGCAGTTATTGCACATGAAATTTTTTACCGAAGGAAGATTCTCATTTCACATTGATAAATTGCTAGAAATCAGAATAAAAAATGACAAAATGTGATGTAATAAATAACAATGCTCATACATTACCCCAGCCCCACCTATATATGGATTTTTTTAAATTTTCTTCATCAATATTTGATATAAATGTTTTATTACTAAATATTGATAAAGAAAATTTAAAAAATCCATATATAGATATATAATGATATATAATATATATTCATATATGTAATGGATATATATATATATATATATATATATGGTAACTAATTAGTATAAAAATATGTAGATGATTTAATTTAATCTCTCCACTGTGTCAATTTAAAATTATTAAATATTATATATACTATTTATAAATAAATAAAAAAGAATATAGACACTTTGTGCAAAATTAACATTTTATGTTAAGTATACAGTGTGATCACGATAAGTGGAAACACTCAATAACTATGTACATGCTTCATATATTTCAATTCTGCTTTCTCGGCTAACTAATAAACATTACTATACACATTTTCAAATAATTAAACTATTTTTTTGACAGTTAATTTTGCGCATGCGCACAATAACTTTTTTTTTTTTTGTAAATGGCATGATCCATTTTTGACCACATATTATTTTCTTTGGTATTTTTTAATGAATTTCAGTGGTCGAATTTCTTTTCTAAGTCAAAAAATGACCGAGGTATAGCAATTCGATTTTATGTTATTTGCACGGGTATAACAGATTATAAAATACATAGTTAATAATAATAAAAATATAAATAACTAATCCAATTTATGAAATACCTGTTTACCTATTGTGTTTATTTTTATTAAACTTAAGTAATTCAGTAATTTCATTATAATTATAATGTCATACGGGCATAGGTGCCAGTAATAGCTCAAAATAAGGAATTTTTCTCAGTCAATATTATTCTGAAGTAAGTGCCAGTAACTAATAGGAAATAAAAATGAATATTTTATAGTTTTAAACCAAACTTAATACTTATCTATTAGTTATTATGAATAATAATTCAGAAAAATTGACATGCTTTTTACATATTGGGAATGCCAAAAAAATACACGTCTTGCCAAAGAAACCTATGCTCTTCGTTATCCAAGTAACAGTGATTTAACCATAAATTTAATTTTCTTTGCTTAATTTCTCATAAAATAAATGTTTTTTTTTTATTTATAAATTCAGATATGTAGCATCCATCACATATTTTTTTTTATAAACTGGAAAAAAATTTGAGAGACACCGGTTCTTTTTCCAAACGAGTTATTAACCAACAACCAAGACGAGGAAATGCTATTGGAGAAGATATTGAGGTGCAAATACTAGCTTACATGATAGCAAATCCAAGGACTTATATTTGTCATATTAATAGAGAAATAAATATTTCATTTGGAGTTGTTCAAAAAATTTTGAAAAAACATAAAATCCACGCTTATCATGCTGATTTAATTCAACATTTACGTGAAAGTGACGCCAAATATAGAATTACGTTTATTGCTTGGTTGAAAACACAGTTAAACGAAAATCCTTATGTTTTAAATTACATTCTTTGGACAGACAAATCGAAGTTTACAAATAATGGAGTTTTAAGTAAACAGAATCATCGCTATTGGAATGACAAAAAACCTCAGTGGACATTTGAGACAAACAATCAAACTGTATGGGGGACGAATGTATGGTGTGGTTTAATAAATGGTAAACTATTAGGGCCATACTTCTACGATAGCACTCTTAATGGAAGACGATATAACGATTTCTTACTTAATGAGCTTCCTAATATGTTAGATGACCTTTCACTAGACATAAGAGCAAATTTAATATTCCAACAAGACGGAGCTCCAGCTTATAATGCAAATATTGTTCGCAATTACCTCAATGAATATTTTCCAAATCGGTAGATAGGGACTTATAGAACAGTTCAGTGGCCACCAAGATGGCCAGATCTTACACCTCTAGATTACTTCCTATGGGGTCACTTGAAACGGTAGTGTATGCCTACATGTCTTCTTGAGTTGAAAAACAAAGTAGTTGCTGCATGTAATCAAATTACAGAGGAACAAATAATTTCTGCTACTAACAGAGAATTTTTAAATCGTGTTGAATGTTGTTCACAGCAACATGGTGCACAGTTTGAACAAAATGTTAGATAAATAAAACTTTTATGAATAAAAAAATCAATATTAGTAATTTTATTTTTATTATTCACGTATTTATTATTATAAACTACCTCTACGTATTATAACCGTGTAAATAACATAAAATCAAATTGCTATAACTCGGTCATTTTTTGACTTAGAAAAGAAATACAACCACTGAAATTCATTAAAAAATATCAAAGAAAATAATTTGTGGTCAAAAATGGGTCATGCCATTTACAAAAAAAAAAGAGCTTTTAAGGTAAAATTTTTTTGTGAAAACTATTGAAATGTAATAAGAGAAGACCACCTTTCTTCAATATGTAAATTCATTTTTAATGCTCACATGCTTTTAAACCTTTTAACTTTTTACAACAAAAAAAAAAAAAAAATTTATAACCTCAAAAGGTAAAAACACAATAGTAATAATAACAATAATGAATAGTTGATACTTGATATATGATAATAATATAATGTTGATAACATAATTAAATAATTATTGAATTGCTGTTTCAACACTCCCACTCAATTCATAATTAGTTTGACAAGATGATTGAATTTATTGACTGGTAATCCTTTTGTCAGAATGTCTGCTTGTTGATTTTCTGATGTAATGTATCTTAGCATAACAACACCTTCCTCAACCTTTTCCCGGATGAAGTGATGGCGAATATCTATGTGTTTTGTTCGACAATGATGGCTTGGATTTTGTGATAGCTGTATACAGCTCTGATTATCTTCGTATAATGTTATTGGTTCAGATAATTCAACTCCAAAATCCTTTAATATATTCTTTAACCATATTGCCTCGCAAGTAGCATAGCTGGCCGCCATATATTCAGCTTCAGTAGTTGAGAGTGCAATTGTTGGTTGACGGTTGATTGACCAAGAAATTATTGATCCATACATTTTAAATATATATCCTGTCACAGATTTTCTATCTTCATGATTAGCCCAATCTGCGTCAACATAGCCTTCAAGTATTGTTGTAATACTTTGTTTTCTATAAATTATTGAATAATCCAATGTTCCTTTAATATATCTAAGAACACCTTTTAGATGCACCCAATGAACTTCTTGGAGTTTACTTTGGAAATGGCTAAAATAGTTTAAACAGTAGCTTAGATCTGGTCGTGTGGCTAATATGAGACATCCTATGAGCTGTCTATACGGCTGACTACAAGATGTCGTTGTAAGTGTGTTAATTGATAAATCAAGTTTGGTCTCAATTAGAATAGATCTTGGTTTGCAATCTGACATGTTGAAACGCTGAAGAACATTTTTAAGATACTGACCTTGACTTATCTTAAGTTCTGCTTTATCCACATTATGTTCAATTTTAATTCCTAAGTAGTAATTTAGAATACCGCAATCTTCAATTTCAAACTCTTCTTTTAATAGACACTTGAGTTCATTAATTCTCTTAATGCTCCCACTAGCGAGAATGATGTCATTAACATATAGCAGCAAGTGTACTAAATCTTCTTGACCTTTAAAATCTAAAGTGTATAAACAATGATCTGTGTTACTTCTAGTGAAACCAATTTTTGTTAGAAATGTATGAAATCTATAGTTCCAACACTTTGATGCTTGCTTTAAACCATACAATGCCTTGTGAAGTCGACACACCAGATTATTATTTTTACTTAAACCACAAGGTTGTTCAATGTAAACTTCTTCATTCACAACTCCATGTAGAAAAGCTGTTTTAACATCTAACTGGTAAAGATGCCAACTTCTTTGAACTGCTAAAACTAACAGAGACCTAAATGTAGTGAGTTTTGCTACTGGAGAATAGGTTTCTGTATAATCCAGTCCTTCTTGTTATGAAAAACCTCTGGCAACAAGTCTGGCCTTATATTTGATTATTTGTCCTTCACCGTTCTTCTTAATTTTGAAAATCCATTTTGTACTAATTATATTTCTATTTGGTGGTTTTTTAACAAGTGTCCATGTTTTATTTTTGTGTAAAGATTCTATTTCTGATTTCATTGCTAGATTCTACTCCTTCTTGTTTGGATGACTTTGAGCTTCATCATATGTTATTGGTACATTGTCTACTATAGTTTCAGCTGATAAAGCCATTGCCAAATAGGATGTATCATAATCTTGCAAGTAATTTGGTGCTCTAATGGTCCTTTGTGGTCTAATATCCTGCTCTTCATTTTTTTTATCATTTTGTTCCTTTTCTTGCTCTATGCAACTATGTGTTTTGATGTCCTCGGTATTCTCCTCGTTTGGGTTGTCTTCGAAACTTTCTTTATCTGGATAATAGGCGGCAATATCTTTTGAAACTACCTTTTGATCTTTAATATTTTCTTCAAAAATAATGTCTCTACCTGTTATGATTTTTTTTGTTTCTTGACACCAAAGACGATAGCCGTGTGTTGTATATCCAATCATTGTGTACTGTTTAGACTTACTATCAAACTTTGTTCTTATTTGGTTTCGCAAATGCAGATGTGCAATAGAACCAAAAACTCTTAAATTTGAAATGTTTGGCCTCCTTTTAAACCAAAGCTCAGCTGGAGTTTTATTAAATGTTGAGTTGCTAGGTGAACGGTTGATGAGGTATGTTGCTGTCAAGACAGCTTCTCCCCACATTTCTTTTCCAAGAGAACTCTGAAGTAATAGTGCACGGCCTTTTTCAATTAATGTCCTGTTCATACGTTCTGCATGACCATTTTGTTCTGGTGTATATGGTATGGTTAACTCGGTTTGGATTCCCTTTTGAACACAAAATTCTTTGATATTATTTGAAGTATTTTCCCCACTGTTATCACATCGTAGTCTAGAAACTTTTGTACCAAATTGAGCTTCTACCATAGCAATATACTCTTTAAATACTTCAAACGTTTCACTTTTATTAGTAAGTAGATAAACAACTGTAAAATGGGTAAAATCATCTATAAATGTAATGAAATATTTTTTACCATTCCATGTAGGTGGGTTTATTGGTCCACAAATGTCACTGTGAATTAATTCTATGGGTCTACTAGCTCTAGTTCGTTCTCCTTTAAATGGTAAACGAGACTGTTTAGCTTCTATACAAATTCGACAAAACATTCCATCAATAGGTTTACTTAATTTCAGCCCATCAACCATTGAACTCAGTCGATTTGTATATTGGTAGTTCATATGACCTAATCGGTAGTGCCATAAATCATAATTACTTTTCTTTTCAGATGAATATGCATTTGATTTAATTACATTAAAAACAACTTCATATAATGTACCTTTTCTTATGCCTTCAGCTACTCGACCATTTTTATTATGAATCTGCTTTTCCATTTTTTAATACAATCGACAAACCGTTTTGCTCAATTTTCCCGGCTGACAATAAATTTTTTCTTAAATGCGAAACATACAATACATTTTTAATTACACACCTTACAGTTTTACCATTTAACGTTTGAGATACATTTATATCACCTACTTTGAAAGCTTTTAAGCTTTCTCCGCTCTTGGCCACGCCGATTGTTATCGGGGAATTCAGTTCACTTGAAACACTAAAGTAACTTTCATCATTAATCAAATGATCAGATGCACCAGAGTCTAAGAACCATGACATATTTAAATGATTATCAACAACATGATCATGTGGAGAGACCATAAAAGCTATAAAATCATTTTCTTCAGTCATATTGGCTGACTTATCTGTATTTTCTTGTTGTCGTTTCCACTTCCAACAATCTTGCTTCTTATGCCCTGGTTTATGACAAAAATTACATTTAAAAGGAAAACGATTTGTGGATGTGCCAAAAGCAGCTTTAACACTTGAGTTATCCTTTCCTGTTGAACAGTCTGATCTTGAATTTCTTTTAATTTCTTCATCTAAAAGCCTCGATTTCACAAATTCTAGTGTTATTTTATCAGATGACAAAGTTTCAATTGCTGTGATCACCATGTTGAATGAATCAGGTAACGTTAAAAGGAGCATGCATGCAATTAGATCATCATCTAATTTTCCACCAGATAGTCTAACTTGTCTAAGTAAATCATCAAACTGACTCAGATGAGTTTCCATTGATTCATTATCATCAAATTTCATTGTAATCAATTTTTTTAATAAATATAAACGACTAGATGTACCTTTTCGTTCGAATGTAGTTTTTAATTTGTTCCAGATCTCCTTTGCTGATTCTCCTCGAACATACTCAACATGAGTGTCAGCGGTACATTGTATTATCAAGTCTGTAGCTTTTGCATCCCTCTTGTCAAACGCAACTTGCTCTTCGGCTTTTACTGGGCGGGTGGCACTAAGAACATCTAGCACCCCATTTGCCCTTAACAATGATTCTACACGAAATTGCCAAGTTGGAAAATTCGTTCCTTCAAATGGTGTTATATTGAATCTGTCTTCCCTTCGTGACATATTGAATATATTATAAAAGAAACTGACAAAAAAAATATTTACTCTGTAAAACTTTTCTTAGCAGTTTATTTTGTGCCTGGGCCCATAACCTATTGAAATGTAATAAGAGAAGACCACCTTTCTTCAATATGTAAATTAATTTTTAATGCTCACATGCTTTTAAACCTTTTAACTTTTTACAACAAAAAAAAAAAAAAAAATTATAAACTCAAAAGGTAAAAACACAATAGTAATAATAACAATAATCAATAGTTGATACTTGATATATGATAATAATATAATGTTGATAACATTATTAAATAATTATTGAATTGCTGTTTCAACAGTATCAGCTTTCATTTTTATTTGTTTCAAAATTCCCATATTGAAACCAGTTTTGAATTTAGAATTCCCAATCCAATGACGTATAGTGGATAATCCGGGTAAAATAATTTGTTTAGAATTTTTTAAAAATTTATATGTAGATGGTGATTTGTAAAATAAGCTTAAAGCAAATTGTTTTTCATCAAAAGACCATGGGTTTCTTGATGTTTTATTTATTTTATTTTATTTTTTATTTTTTTTATTTTATTAGAATACACGGGCTAAGCCCTTTTATACATAGAAAAACAGGTAATATGGTTTACAAATCGAGAGAAAAAGAAACAAAAAAAAAAAAAATAATAGTAATAAAAATATACATAGGTATGCAATTAAAGATATAGATACATGAAGGTGTTAAAATGAACAGTAGTTATTAAGTAGCAATGGGATAATACAGTTTATGGGCATTTCAAAAATAATATATATGACAGAACTAACTAAAAGAGATAGTGGGGAACTAACTAAAAGAGAAAGTGGGGTCCAAATTGGCATTATGCATCATACGCCTCATAGGCTCATTTAGTAAGTAGTTGGTGGAACAAAAAGGGACATGAAATGAAGTAATAGAGCGGGTGGAGCGTTGAGATACTTTAAAATTAATTAAGGATAGTAAAGTCGGGGAATCAACACTACCATCTAACAGTCCATTCAAGAACTTGCTATCCATAATGCGCCTGCGCTCTGCCAGTGAGGCTAGATTAAGTTGAATAGCAACTGGGGAATAATCATGCGGTGGACATTTGATGTCTAAAAGGAAGCTGGTAAATCGCAAGAACCTACGCTGTACCCTTTCCACCTGGGAAGCGTTGTCGGCCGTGTGGGGATTCCAAATAATGGCACCATATTCAATAATTGGCCGGACTAACGAACAGTATAAAACTTTCAATGAAGAAGTTAGGTTAAGGTCCTTTGACAATCTCATTATTACACCCAACATTCTTAGAGCTTTGCAACAAGCCATTTCAATGTGAAGGCCCGGGTCAAGGTTACTGGAGAGTTTGAACCCAAGATCCATCGTAAATTCATCACAGCGAGAAATTATTGAATCATGAATATGGTAGGAGAACGTTAACGGAGAGCGGGTTCTAGTAAACGTCATGACTTTACATTTACCTAGATTCAGTGACAAACCTAATTTAATAAAAAGAGCAACAAATCTATCTAAATCACTTTGTAGTTTAAGACTGTCTTCAATGCAGTTTATTAGCATAAAGAGCTTGATGTCGTCCGCGAAACATAAAACTTGACAATGATTTAGTGTTTTACTAAGGCTGTTGATAAAGATAGAAAAAAGCAAAGGGGACAGGTGTCCACCTTGGGGAGCACCAGAAGGGGTAAAGAACACATTAGATTTAACGTTAGGTAGTTTAACCCATTGATATCTGTTACCTAGGTAGGATTTAAGCCAAGACAAAAGCGGCTCACCAGTGCCATAATCTTTTAGAATTTTCACTAAGACGTCATGGTTAACGGTATCGAAGGCCTTATTAAAATCTGTGTAAATAACGTCAACCTGTGAATGATGTTGGAAAGCCTTGAAAACATAATTATGAAAAATTAGACTGTTAGTGGTAGTAGAACGACCAGGACGAAAACCATGTTGCTCTTCCATAATAATATTATTGAAAGATCTAAGAATATCCTTTTGGACCAATGACTCAAACATTTTGGCAATATGCGATAAAATTGAGATGGGCCTGTAGTAGGAGACATCAGTTGGGCATCCGGATTTCAGAATTGGCGTAATTGATCCCAATTTAAGAATGTGTGGGAAGATGCCTTCATCAAGTGATCGTCTAAAAAGGATCCAAAGGGGGTAAGATATAATGGATTTTAGCTTGAAAAGAAATATACCAGGTATGCCATCTGGACCGACAGATTTGTTACAATGTAGTTCAGATAATTTTTGGAAGACATCATCTACGCTTAAAGAGACGTTGTTTGGCAGATCAAAAGAATAAATGTCCGGACTTTCAAAGTCACATGGAATCACCTTGGAAGAATAAACTGAGGAAAAATATGAAGAAAACATCTCAGCAGACTCGTGATCGTTACAAGAGGATGTTCCATTAAGAGAAACAACTTTAGGGATATCTTTGTGATCGGATCTACTGTTGTTTATGAATTGCCAGAATTTTTTTGGATTACTTGTTAATGAGCTATCTGCATGTTTGGAATAGTCGCGAAAACATTTTTTTGAAAGGTATTTGAATTTAGCACGGAGAAAGGAGAATTCTTTGTAGTCATGGCTGCTGAGAGATGACTTGAAACTTGCGTGGGCCTTTTTCTTTAACGCAACAACTTGTTTTAATTCATGGGAATACCAAGGTGGATATGTCGATTTGCGGAATGTACACTTTGGGACAAAATCAAGTATAGATTTGTGTAGAGCGTCGTAAAAAGTGTTGAACGCTGAATCAATATCAAGAGGATGAAAGGTAGAATACCAGTCAAAAGATCCCAAGAATGAACTAATTTTTAAATAATCTGCTTTGTTAAAATTAAAAAATGAATTGCTACGGTCACATGGTGTACTACTAGGCTTATTGGACAGAGATATGCAAAGTGCTGGGTGATATGGATCTATAGGAACTGCCGGTTCGAGTGATTTATTGACTACAAGAAGTTTGTTGCAGGTAAACACAAGATCTAAAAGAGACCCATGGGCATTGAAAGAGATGTTCATTTGATAGAATGAATGAGTTGCAAACAATTCAGGAATACAAGGAGCTCTAGTAGTTGAAGAGTAAGAATATAATAACCCACTATCGTCATTATTCCAAATAATTTCGGGTAAGTTATAGTCCCCACAAATAATAAAAGTATGGTTGATATATTTATCAATTAAAATATTTACTGAACTAGCATGGGATTCATACATTTGAATGGATGATAACGGAGGAATGTATACACCACCAACTAAATAGCTTGAAGTACCTATAGAGAAATTAACAAAAATCTGTTCAACATTTAGGCAGTTTGTTTTTATTAAATGAGATGGAATATCTTTATGAATGCCAATGAGAACACCACCCCCCCCGAAGACAGTTGCTTGTTAAAGAGCATCTGTCAAATCTATAAATATTGTAGTTAATGAGACCAAGCTCACAATCTAAAAAGTTAGCTCTTAACCATGTTTCGGTTAAAACAATAAAGGTATAATTAAATTCAGATACATTACATTTAAAGCAGGTAAGTTTGGTTCGGAGTCCGCGACAATTCTGGTAGAGACCGGTGATGGGGGCGGGACAGATTACTTGAGCTGTTGATTGATCGGAGGTGGAGGATAGCTTACACCCCCGTTTTTTTGAGACGGCAGGTCCAACTTTCGGCGAACCATTTTCAAATATAATCCATAGACCAACTTCACCATCCTTTATTCTGCGATCAAGCTCAGCGTGACAATCACGCAACAGTTTGCGTTCAAGAACAGTTTTGTCTCTGACCAACCGAAAACCATCCAAAAATGTGGTGCCGGAATGCCTGGCTTGGTTGAACTGCGATAGGGCACTGGCCGCTGATTCGGTAGATGTGAAAATGATTTTAATTGGACGAGCAGCATTGTCGCTACGAGTTTTACCAAGACGAACAAGTTTCGTATTCAAAGGAATAGTATTCCCGAGAGATTCGAGGATATCAATTATAGACTGCCTGTCCTGAGCAATACGTTGTGGAATGTCCGCGGAAGCAGATTCCGGAACACCATAGGCAATAAGATTGTGGCGACATCTATCACGTTCAAAAGTTTCCTGCAGTACTTGCCCAACAACCGACTGTGGTTGTACAGTAAGACGGGAAGACTCAAGACTAGATACTTTGGCTTTTAAGGTATTAATTTCATTGCGGAGCAAGGTATTTTCTGCCTTAATCTCAGTCAATTGAGTGCAAAGGCTAGTAAGCCCGCACTTTAAATCATCATATTGTGACGCTTGTAGAGCTGAGGAGGCTTTACTGGAGGCTAGCATTTCAGATTTGAAGGACTTGAGGGCAGTCATAAGGTCTTCATTAGAAATAGATGTAGGTGTAACGCGAAGAGATGGAGCTTTAGTAGTTGGTTTAATAGGCGTGTCAAGTTTAGGTGGCATAATGTATTTAAATGATTAATTAACCTTAAATACAATGAAACCCCTGGGTTGATTATAAAGATGCCCCTTAAAATGTATGGATACCAACAAAGGCGCACGTAAAACACAGCTGGACCGTGGCTGGGAAACTTCAAGACCTATCGTTTAAGTCTCCGGAAGACGATGCCAGAAACAGTTGTTCGGTGTTATTGAAACGAAACAGGAAGATTATATTGCTTGATTGCGAAGAAGTAGATGCATAAATGGCGTTGAAAACGACGCACAATAAAAGCGGGGTATAACACGAACAAAATAACAGTACAGCAATAAAATATGAATATTCAACAATTATTACCACGATGGAGATTGCGCATGGAAAAAATATCTAATATATTTGTTATCTTTGTTTATCACGGTCGCTCGGTTTTATTTACATTGTTCATATGGCTAGTAAGCATTCCAGTTATCATATAGTTCAATGGGTTCACCTAGGTGGTGACAGGTTTTAGATCGTAATATTTGCATCTTCACTAATGTCTTCGAATCATGTGATGGAAATTGTATTTTATTAAAAATATCTTTGTTCTTCATTTTGGACCTTAAAATCGAATAATTATTTCGTAATTTTGAAATTGAAGCACGTTTATAATTTAATAAGTGACCTTGATTTTCAACTACTTTTTTTAATTGTAGTACTTTTTTATTAATACTATTATTATGTTTAATTATGTTATTATTTGGAAAAAGTACTTTTGGACTAATTGAAGGGCTCGGAAAGTGTATTGTTGATTTTATTATTAATTTTGAGTTTGGAGTTAACTCTGGAGATGATGTTGATAAATAAGATGTTGAAGAAGAATTTTTCACGGATTTTTTCGGTATTGGAAAATAAAAACCATCGCCATTTTTCAAATTAATATTTTTATTTCTTGTTGGAGTAGTTTCTGGAGAATATATTTTGAATATTGATGTCGAATGTTCGGGGCTTTTTGGAAAATGTTTTGAAGTATAGGTTTTGTTCGGGGTTAATACTTATAATGTTGAACTTTCTGTTTCAAACATTTTTGGAATAGCATTTTTTTTTCAAATTTCGTTTATTGAAAGTGAAATCAGAATTGGAAAAATGTAACATGCATAAATGTTTTTTATTTAATTCTTCATGGTTAAAATCTAAAAGCTTAATGTTCCCTATAAGTATAAAAGATAAACATAACAATATATTAAAAAATTTAATAGATTATATTCAATAATAAGTCAATAACGTTATAGTTTTGACTATAAATAAATATAGACGACAACCAAATCGATTGTTGATACATTCGAACGGGAGTTGTTTTTACGTTTCGGATACCCGAGGGCATTATTGTCAGATAATGGCCCGCAGTTTGTATCCAAGGCAATAGGATTTGCACTCAGGTGGTGGGGAGTGGAAGGATGGACAACTCCAATATACCACCCACGTGCCAACCAGGTAGAAAGGCAAAATCAAGAGTTGAAGAAAGGGTTACGAACCTTACTCGTTGATAAGCCGCACCATCTGTGGGATCTTTACCTGCCACACGTATTATTCTCTGTGAGAAGCCGAGAAAACCGAAACACCGGACAGTCCCCAGCCAAATTGATGTTTAGCCGGGAGATCAGGGCCCCCAGAGATTGGCAGCTTAGGCTGGTCGAAGCATGTCCAGATACGGGCCAAGGTGATCCGGAATTCTCCGAAGCAGATCGGAAACCTTTGGTGGGATTCGATGACTCTCAGGTGGAACCGAATGATGCTCCGGTGGAAGAAGGGGGTCACTCGGTGGTTCCCAACCCTGAAGCCCCCAATACCCAAATACCCTCAGAATCCCCGGGAAGGGCATGTCTATCAGTAGGGGATTGGGTGTATTACAAAACACATCCGCAGTCAAGTACGGAGAAGCGGTTTCACGCGGCGTGGGGTTCGCCCCGAAATGGTTAGGTCCGGTTAAGTTGGGTAAACCTCTAGGAACCGTAGTGTTCTTGACGGAGGGTAAGCACCCTACTACTCGGTCGGGGCACGAGTATGCCGCCGGGCGCGTCCCCAGGTTGCGGATAGGGGAACGTCCTGTAGATATGCAGGGTAGCCGCGAAATAAGCCATACCCTTCGAGATTGGACAAATAAGCGGTCGCGGACAAGCTCACCACCGGGGAACTGATCGACCCCCGGTATCTTCCTAGATCTGGCAAACAAACTAGAAAACCGACAGATGGCGCGAAGCTGGTGCCATCGATGGCCGCTAAGCCATACTTTAAAAATTATGATTGAGACAAATAAAGCTATTGATGTTACTGCTACTGGGGTCTCGGAAACCCCAAAACGGGCAGTTGAGGGTAGCTCGCCCCAAAGGTCGTTATTGGCAAGCCAGAACCCAGTCCATAGGTTGTCCAGCATGGCCCTCTCCACTGGTAAATCTACTGCTGAGACAGTCGTACCTAATGGCATGCAACGGAAACCAGAAAATGTTGGATATTTAAATAGGCGAAGCGGCAAAGAGTCGGTCGAGACGTTAAGTTTTTCGCAAACATAGGCTGAGAAAAGATATTCTAAAACCTTAGAGGAAATCAACAAGCACCTGACCTCATTGAAGATAAACATTCAGACCGCCACTAACACAAGAGGGGACATCAAAAGCGGCATCAAGGACCTTGGCGCATGTATCAGGGAGTTCACGAAGGTTGCTAATGTACTAGGTATGACTCGAACCCCTGATGCCGTTGAGAAATGCCTCAAACAGCAACAGCTACAACAGCAGAATTCGCTTGATATGCTTAAAAAAATACAAGCCGCTCAACGCCAGGGGCGTCCCCTCGACCCACTGCGCTCCGAGGACAAATCTCCCTTGATTGCTGATATTGCAAAAGGTTTTCACGACCTTAGACTACGAATGGATACATACGAGAAGAAAGGAGATGAGCTTCTGGAAAGGACAGCGCCAGAAATAGTAAATACAAATTTGAGCGAATGGACGGAAGTGGTTAAAAAATCCAAAAACCAAAAGAAACAGTCAGTGCCAGAAGCGGTTTCCACCACAAACAAGGTCGATATAAGGAAAAGGACCAATAAGCGGAACCCTGCAATATTGGTGGATTCAAAACCCGAGAACTTTCCTACACTAGCGGAGAGACTAAGTAAAGATGTAAAACAGTAGGTAATAGGCAACACAATAGTAGCTATGCGACAAACCAGACAAGGCTCCATGTTGATAGAAATCAGTGGTGATGCATCGACAGTAGAAGCAGTTAAGACCGAAATCTCTTAAGCTGCGGGAGACGGTGCAAGTGTTCGAACCTTGTCTCAAAGGTGTCTTCTTGAAATAAAGAGTATGGCAAGCTGGTGTGGTAAGGAATATGTAGTCCAAGCAATAGTTTGCGCACACGATGCGAAACCAGAAGATGTTAATTTGATCAACATTAGAAAATTATATGGAGGAACATTCGCGACGATTGTCTTGGTTTGACAACAATTAGCTGATCAAATCGTAGCAGTAGGCCGCTTAAAAGTTGGCAAGGAATATTGTGAAGCAAGAATTTGCGAAAGATGTCTCAAGTGTTATAGGTGCCTAGCCACAGGACACGAATCCAGAGGTTGTACGGGTCCCAATAGGGAAAAATGCTGTCGTAAATGTGGAAGAGATAGACACATTTGCAGTACAGTGTGACGTTGACCAAGAAGGAGTAGAGACATTTAAGAGATTACTCCAGAAGGAATCCACCTTGAAATCCGGGCGAATTACTGAAGGAAAAAATCTTGAGAGAAACATCGAAGTCCCTATCACTGTCGGTTCGATCACAGGGGTAGTGGGTGAAAGTAAGGAGACACAAAATCTGCAATTATTAAATTCCTGCAGATTAACATCGGAGGGTGCCGCGCTGCGCAGGACTTGATGTACGTAACGGCAGCAAAGATGGAAGTTGATATTATGCTTGCCAGCGAGCAATATGGGACTTCCTCCGACGAAAACGGACAATTCAGTGATCTAGGACGCAAGGCAGCCGTATATGCTATGCGAGACTCACTAGCACTCGACGCGATTGGCCCTACCTCTGATAACGGATTCCGGTGGGTAGAGACCATGGGCACTAGGATCTACAGCTGCTACCGGTCACCGAACTGCACAATTGATGAGTTCGCGGACTACATCGACAGACTCTTTTCCAGCGTGAGGACATCTGCGGTGCCGGTGATTGTTGCCGGTGATTTTAACGCCTACAGTCCCGAATGGGGAAGCCCAGACGAAAATCAAAGAGGCTCTCTTCTGGCAGATGACATACACTCAATAAACTTGTACGTGTGTAATCGCGGCAACCAACCGACATTCGTTAGAGGCGCATCGAAAACACACATCGATGTGACATTCGCCTCGGAGGCCATAATTGGTGATGTACACAGCTGGAAAGTCGTTGATGAAGAATCCAACGTCGACGCAAGAGACGAGACTAGATGGTCTGTCTTTAAGTTGGATACTGGGAAATTGCAAGAAGCAGTCAGGAGGGAGTTATAACCAAAAGTCGACAACAGACAAAATATCACAGTCGAGACCAAAGCACAGGAATTGACCTACCTTCTGGCCCGCATTTCTGATTCCTGCATGCTATGCACTAGGGGAAATTCTAGACGTAAGCCAGTGCCATAGTGGTCTGATAACATCGCCACGATTAGAGCTGATTGTCTCTGGGCATGAAGGATTTACTTGCGTAGAAGAAAGAGAGTAACCGAAGAGGAATGCCAGGCTGAGGCTTCAGCTTAAAAATATGCCAAAAGACAGCTAATTCTGGCTATAAAAACTGCCAAGTCTGAGCTTTGGGCGAAACTGTGCGCCGAGGTTGAACACGACCCATGGGGTAGACCATACCGCACAGTTACAAAGAAGTTAAATCGTAGGTGGAAAATCATAGGTATTGAGCTACCGAGACGACTCGACAGCATTATCGGAGAACTATTTCCGACTGATACTAGTGGTGAACCCACGAACATACAATGGCTGTTTGATCCTGAAGACTTCACTGAGTTTATGATGAATGAAATACTAGAAGCTTCAGGTCTACCCAACGGGAAAACACCGGGGTCCGATTGCATTCACAACGAAGTCCTCAAAGCAGCGGTGAAAGTAAGCCCCCAGCGCTTCCTCCAAGTGTACAACCAATGTATAACTGAAGTAGTATATCCGCTTAAATGGAAAAAAGCAAACCTGGTTCTATTATCTAAATTGGGGAAGGCACCGGAAACCCGTCGTCGTGCCGACCACTCTGAATGCTAGACACGATTGGGAAATTGTTTAAGAAGCTCCTGGTGAGGAGACTAAAGAACCACTTATCGACGACAAATGCAATATCAGACAAACAAAACGGCTTCAGTAAGGGAAGGTTGACTCTGGATTCACTCAATCGCCTCGGCGAAATCATCAGAAACGCCAATTTGGGAGCGTCTCACCGCAGAAAAGTTGTTGGCATGATTACTCTAGATGTCAAGAACGCCATCAATTCAGCGCAATGGAGCGACATCATCAATGCCTTTTGATCGGTATGTCTACCCAGATTACCTGATCAGCATTATCCGTAGCTATCTTTGCGACCGCAGCGTCACCATAAATACTCCTAACGGACACCGGACAATCGAGGTGACGCGCGGCGTGCCTCAAGGATTCATTTTGGGTCCCGACCTCTGGAACATAATGTACGACGGTCTCCTACGACTTGAGTTCTCCCAAGACATTGAACTCTTAGCCTTTGCCGACGATGTTATTATTGTGGCTACTGCAAAAACAAACGGTGAAGCCGAAGAACAGCTAAAAGAAACATTTAATAGGGTAATCGAATGGATGAACGAACACGGTCTGCGCCTTGCGGTCGAAAAAACGGAGGCTGTTATGTTCACCAACAAAAAGATCAATAACACGATGAATTTAAACCTAGCAGGATACGATATATCGTCATCCAGGAGTCTTCGATACCTTGGTGTACAGCTTGATACCAAATTGAAGTTCAAGGATCACATCGCGTTGGTCGAAAAAAGAGTTTCTAAAGTTACAAAACAACTCAGTCTCATCCTCCCCAACCTTGGTGGAGCGAACGAACCGAAAAGAAGACTGCTAGCCGGTGTGACAGAGTCAATCCTTCTGTACGCCGCACCTTTTTGGATAGATACAGCAGCAACGAAGACAATATGTAAGCTCAAAGCGGTACATAGAAAAGCATTGCTCCGTGTGGTATGCGGCTATAGGACTGCCTCATATACAGCCCTGGCCGTTATAGCCACCACCCCACCACTTCGCCTTTTGGCAGAAGAGCGAAGGAGTATACTAAGAGGGTCAACCCAACAAAATGCCCGCGCCATGAATTTAGAAGTTTGGCAAAGAAAATGGGAAGCTGCACATAAAAGGCGATGGACATTCAGATTGATTCCAGACCTAAAAGCATGGTGTAGCAGAAATCATGGTAACGTGAGTTTCCACATGACAATTCCTGACTGGCCATGGCTGCTTCCAGGCGTATTTGAAAAGGCTTAACCTGACAGATACTGATGTGTGTCCGATCTGTGGACAAGGGACTGATAGCGCAGAACATGCTGTCCTAGCCTGCGGCGCATGGGATATGTGGAAGAGCGAGGTTTGCTCATATCTAGGTATTAGCGAACTCACTGTCTCGAACATCGTAACAAATATGCTGCAATCCGAATATAATTAGATAAAACTCTCGGACATGGTCGGAAGAAACTTGAAGGAGAGAGAAGCGGAGGAGCGACAACGACAAAGAGCACCCACTTGAATGAGGAAACGAAACTTGTTTTAGCTGTTTATTGGGACCTAGAACAAACTTAAGAAAATAAAGTCTCAAAAATAACTGTAAAAATATTGTAATGGACTCGTAAATAGGGGATTGTCCCATTTTCCACCAAATTTTAGAATTTGTTTTTTCGGTTTTGAAATAAACGATGGTTACCGGGAGGAAGTATTGCTCATGCAGTTCCCTCCCGGTGACTGGTGAAAAATAAAACACCCTACTAAGTTACATGTCTCAGCGATGAAGAGAGCTGTGGGACCGTCAGAGAACAATACCTTGTTTCAGATAGCAGAACGCGCCAACAATCCACCAAACCGTAATAATCGGCCATCCCGCGGCGTGATAGCCGCCCACGTGGAGAAGCTTCGGGTCATGACTGGGCAGCTGCTCCGAGAAGCCAGGAGGCTTTCGGGGGTTGAACCGGAGGACTTGGTGAGTGGTTGGTCGGCTGAACGCGTGGCCACCGCATCATTTAGCCGGATCCGGGCCAGCCCGACGGCGTGGATCCTCTTCTAGAGAGGTTTCGCCGATGGACGTCGGTCCACGCGGGCTAGCGCCCCACAGCCGCAGTGAGAAGCTACCCGGGCTCATGCAGGGCCTCCGGGAAGGGTACCACCTCGCCGAGCGCCACCGGCGTAACAACGCCACAATGTGCGGGACAGACGGTGGCGGTTCCAGCCACAGCAGCCAGATCCGAATCCAGCTCAGCAGTCAGCTTCGCAGCCAGTTCAGCAGTCAGCTTCGCAGCCAGTTCAGCAGCCAGCTCCGCAGTCAGGCCAGCAGCCAGCCTCACAGCATGTGGAGCAACCGGCGCCGCTGCTAGCTACGCAGCTACCGGCCAATGCACCAGACGGCTCCCAGCAGCAACAGCTAGCCGTGGTGGAACGGTGGATCGAGGCTGTGGAGGTGACGTCCAAGGCCCCGCACCCCAACCCGAAGTAGCCCAGTTGCTTGGGCGCGTCTCACGGACTTGGGAGGAGTATGTCGCGGTCTTTATTCCAACGACCGCGGCGTCTCTCTCTGGGCGTCCGCGAGAGCGCGACCGTCAACCGGTCTGGCCGCCGTGGCTGAGGCAGCCACCGGCCCGGACAACTTTTTGTTCTAACCGTCATCGCAATAACAACGCGTACATCTTTATGAAGTTTGTTAAATATTTATTACTGTTAATAAAGTAATTTGTCATTAAATCGACGTGTCGTTTAATAAAAGTTATACCTCAGTTCCGTTCTCACACCTATAAATACCCAAAAAGAATTGAACACTCAAAATGTTCTCAACGGACAATGTCAGGTATAACTCACTTATTGATCATCGCTACATCTCAAAACTATATGAACTTGAAATTTGACATGGTGGTCTCTTCAATATACAAAACGTGCAATAAGAAGGGATTTTAAAAAAATATTGGAACCAGCAAATACGGTAATTCAGAAGTATCACCAAAATTACTATATTTATTCATTGAACTTTCATTTTATTTGTTTTATAACCATCAATAGTTATACCGAACTTGGCTTTAAATAGTGTAAAGTAATAAAACTTATGTCACGGCCAAGAATATTCCGTGCGAAGCCGGGTAATTAAGCTAGTATATTATATAGGTATGTACAATAAACTCAATGGGTAGGTCACGTTTCCTCCCGGCATATCCATAATCCACTTCGCTGATGATATGTTAGTACTTGCCCGTGGAAGGTCAACAACTGAAGAAGAGGACAAGATCAACGAATCTCTGGAATGCGTATCAGACAGGATCAGCTGGCTGGGTCTAAGCCTGGCGATTAACAAGACCGAGGCCATATATTTCTGCAGCCAACGCAGCATGGGAGAACCAAAGGTCATAATTTATGGTGAAACCGTCGAAGTTAAGAAGGTAATTAAATACCTGGGAACACATTTATACCGCAGCAAAGAAGGGTCAAGGTGTGATGACGGCGCTTTCAAGGCTTATGCCGAATATCGGTGGATCTAAAATACACAGAAGGCGACTACTCACTATCGTAGTACACTCAGTACTATTTTACGGTTCCCCGACTTGAGCCGACTCACCTAACTATATTCCAAAACGTGGGTAGAAGCGATGATGAAGGTTCAAAATCCACACCTCCAATTGATTTGTTAGCTATGGAGAGGAAGGCTCTGTACAAGGTGACAAAGGAACTGCAAACCATCAACGACGTGTTGAAATCACCAAGGCGCAAAACCATGATAAAATGAAAAAAAAAAGTTTGTAAAACTATGAATTGCAACCATGGACTGAACTTGCTAGTGGACTTAGAAATATAAACTGTTCGAGCACAGTTGAATATATAATACGTAAAATATTTACAAACAATCCAAATCTGATAATAAAAGAAACATTTAACCATTGTGCGTATGAGAAGAAGAGAAACAATAATGCGATTTCCGTTAACTTACTGACAGAAGGTTTAGATTTTTTAAACGATTCAATTTTACAAAAACAATCAAAACGTGTGATGTTTGTAAAATAATTAATTGTATAATTAATATACTTATGAGCTTGGGATCCATCTATTTATTGAGCCGTATTTCGCCATAACAAAAAGTAACACAGGACCTGGATCTTTCTGTAGTCTTAAATGATATTCCCAATATACTATCAGTTCATGATAAACTATATTATCTTCGAGGTTTAATTAATTACATTCCTCTCATATCAAAAAACCTCAAAGCAGTTGGGCATTATGTCGCAATTTGTTGGGAAAAGTATGATGATGGATGCTCTTCAGTAAGAATTGTAAGACTGCTAAAAATTATCAAATAATAGTGTACACAAGATAAACAATGTCTAGTAAGTACCTTGTAAGTAAATATACATTTTTTTTTTTAGCAGACCATAAATAATACATTTTTATGCTTGTATTTTTTGTTTATTTCAGAAAATTCTATAAAAAAAAAAAAAAAAAAAAAAATATGTTCCTACTTGTTATTAATTATTTAAGAAGTTGTAGCTGTTCATAAAAGGATTTTTTTTATTAATTATAAAAAAGTATAAAACAATATAGATTTATATATTGTGTTATTAAAATGTCAAAACATATAAGGACTATTGTACTTATAGTTTTTATTTTAAATTTCTATTTAATAGTTGATATTATTTATATATATTAAATTTATATTATTTAAAATGTTGTAATTGTTCGTACAAGGATTTTATTTTATAAAATAACCACTGTGGATGCATCCGTAGCAGCTAATGCTATTGCTAATGCATATTGTGAAATTTCATCTTGGATTGTTAAAATATAGGAGTCCCCCCCCTAACGTTGGTGGAAGTGGCCCAACTATATCCAAACAGTTACGTTCGAATGGTTTAGAGTTACCGTTGTAGTAATTAATATTGGTTGTTTAGTTTTTATATGAGATTTGTTCTTTTGACATATTTCACAATTTCTAATATATTTTTTTACATCCTTTTTCAATTTTTTCCAATTATGGTTCATTTTTAATCTATTTGTGATTCGGGATACTCCCCCATGACCCCCTAAAGAAGTGCTATAGTATTCATAGATTATGCGCTCCTTTTCCTCGGAACGTTATGTTCAAAATTTGTGGGTATTGTTAGCTCTTCTAATCGAATAGTGGAAAAATTCTTTATCTCATGTGAAACACAAAATGTTTTTATTTCTACAATTGCTTTAAAAAACTGTTTTGCAATTAACGCTTAAATATGTTTCTTTTAATTTATAAAATATTATGGATCGATCATGGTCTTTAAAAATATGAAAGGAATTCGTATCTGAAAATTGAATTGGAGATAAAATTTTATTTTTTCAATATATTCGCGTATTCCTAGATGCGTGATTATTAAATCGCCAGATATTGGTAATAAAATGTTTTCATTTGGGGTTGCATTTTGAATACTATTTGGAATTTCAATAATCTTTTTATTTAATATAGGTTTTTCTTTAGCTTTCAATAACTTGTAATCTTTGTGGTTATTGCTATCGGTTATCATATGAATGCGTGATAAACAGTCTGCGTTTGCATTTAGGGTACCCGCCGTATAAATAATTTCATACTCATATTCTTCTAATTGCAACCGCGCCATCTCATCAATTGTGACAATGTGTCTTTCAGATTAAATAGATAAGTAAGTGGTCGATGATCTGTTATTATTTTAAATGTTTGACCGTATAGGTACGGTATGAAATGTTTAACGGCCCATACTATCGCTAACAGTTCCTTTTGGATCACACTATAATTTATTTCGGCTTTACTTAAGGTACTTAAACCCCGTTTGATACAATTCCTACTAGACCTTTTAATATATTTCGGTGTTTATAATTCCTATAGGTTAGTTTTTATGATTCCATTTTACTTGGTATTGCTGTATATATTTCTGTACAGTCTAAAATCATAAGACAGTTCATAAAATTATTAAAAACACTGGTTAAACATGCTTTATTGTTTTGTTGACTTGTAACAGAATTCATGAAAGTCTTAAATATTATAGTATGAAATGCGTGAATCCAAGTCATTACTATGTTTGTAACAGTTGTACGACTACTCCCAAATTTAACTCCTAAATCTGTGAAATCAAAGTTATGACGTAATTTCATAAGAATCATAAAAATTTGATCTGTTCTATAGTTTATTCAGAATAAAAAAACGTCGGCAGCCGACTACTGCGTATGGGCGTGGCCTCACTACGCACGGCTGTCTTCGATACCGTTGCCAGCGAGAGCGCCGCATTATTCTACTGTTGACCAGTGACGCGAACATATATCTTAAAATACGTTTCTTATACTGAATTGACTATACTGATTCTTTCCACGTTCCACCCCAAGAAATAATTTATCGAAACACTCTTAAAAATATCAAATAATAAATAAATTCCCAGTCTTATTAGGTATTCAAATATAGTAAGTTATTGTTTCATCATTGTCCTCTTTGAATGCAAACGAGAATGGTTGTTTTTTTAAAAGGATTTCAATCATTAAAAGGGCATTTTTGATTCATTAATAATGGATCCAACCGACTTAATATTTAAATTTAAAATTTCATTGTGCTTGGTAGATTCATATAAGTTCATCTGTGATTCAATTTCAATATCTGATTGAGATACTACTTCTGAAGAATTTTCTTCAACTTCATCAGGTAATTCTTCTTCACTGTTTTATACAAAAAAAAAAAAATAAATAATATTAATAAATTATAAATTATAATTTAAAATATTTTTTTCAATAATATAATAAATATTGTTTTAATAAATAATTATATTATATTAACTGTATGTTTGTGGGTGTTGTTTGTATGCTGATGTTAATGTAGATTTATGTTCAATAGGTATTTAAAAAAACCAAAGTATAGAAAATAATTATAAAACTCAAGAGAAAACCTAGATAATAATTAAATTAAATAAGGATTGGTTTCTATTTAAGTATTAATTTAAATTCAAATTAATTTAAGGTTTAAACTCAAATTTGTCAAATTCAATGAAAACCACACTATTGAAAATGTTTTTTTTTAATAAAAAATAGTGAATATAATAAATATTGCTAACATACTGAGGTAGGTTTTGGTTTCCGTTTATTTTTTTCTCTGGAGAAATAAACAAAAATGTTTTATCTTTATTTCAACTGAATATTGTTGGATTGTTTTCTTTTAATCCATCAATAAAATGACAGCTACAAACTTGGGAGTTCACACTTGGATATCTGTCAGACCTTAAAAATATCAATATATACATACAATTCAATTCTAATTATGAAATATATGTAACATAAACAACTGTTATCGGCTACTGTATATAAATAAAAAACGTATGTGATTATATAACACAATATTTTAGTATTGCGTGGACAGCAGAGTCAACATTATATTTAACTTACTGGTCATAATCCAAGTAATAGTTAAAAGATGCATTAAACTGTTAATCCATATTCCTCTAATAATGAACTAGATGTCAAACATACAAGGCCTATCGGATATATAAGGATATTGCCAAAACAATAAGTCCTATAATGTCAATGAAACAATATAAAAGAAGGATGGAAACGACCACAAGGCAGATGAGTTCTAGTCAAGGAATTGAAAGCAACTTAACGTCTATCTAAATCAGAATTAGTTAAAATTTTTGAATTGTAAAATAAACATATTAAAAATTTTAAATGCAAAATCTCATGTTTAATTAATTAAAAATAACATATATTTAACTGATCAAGTTGAAATCGAGCTGGTGGCACATAACACAATCTAGATATACAATTTAGATATAATATAATCAACAACCAAATAAATTAATATAATTAATAGCTACCTTATATTTTGTGTCTATTTTAATTTCAACAATTTATTCACAGGAAATCTAAAAAGTTTACATATTTTTGTTTCTTTGTAATAGTTGCAATTTGGTACAAAACAATTGACCATAATAAACAATTTAAAAATATAAATTTAAAAAAGTAATATCATTGTACCTATTAAACAAAATACGTTTAAAAATATGGATTTGTAATAAAAATATTAATGTACACAACTATAGTTTAAACCCACTCGCAGTCAAACGTTAAGTAGTTACGTAATTTAACAATGGTCAAAATAAATCAATATTCGCTGTTTTTATATAAAAAAAAAAAAAAGGTTAAATCATAGTAAAGAACATAAATACTGTACACCGTAACTTTTTAAAAGAAACTTAACAATATTAATGCGATTTTTCTCTCAAAAACTTAAAACTATGCATAATTCTCATACAGATACTTGTCTCACCATGTCGTCACCTGCACACCGGTTATCATCACTGTTTGGGTTATCAGGTTATCAATTCGTATCAAGCATTCATGATTTTCAATATATATATTTTATCTTGTGTATTATTTTCGGGGAGGTAAAGTAGTCAGTTATTATTTGTTAGTTTTTTGCCGACCGTCTTGTGGTTGACTTTCTTTTACTGACATTAGTGTAGAAGTTATTGAATTTTGCTATTTATTTTTAGTTTTATCGTCAATTCATTGTCAATTATAATTCGAATCAATACATTTGATGTTATTATTCTTATCATACAATCTAACCTTCACCCATTTCAGGAGAATTTCCCCTTATAACAACATCAAAGCTTATACAGTCCACTCACTACACTCTTGAAATAATTCATCGGACAAAAACATAACAATTATACATCAGTGTTACATGTGCTATTGTTATCCACACTACTAAATAATAAAAATTAAGTGAAAATAAAAAATGCAGATAGTAAACTACATTATCTAAAGCAAGTATAGTTATTTATTCCTTTCTTATTTAATATCTTTAATTGTATTATATCATCATTTGTATTGTTAGTGCCACCAACTCCATTTAAATTTAAGCAATCCATGATGTGTGATTTTAATTAAATATGAACTTTAAATTTTTACTTTTACTTAAAGTGATAACAAATCTTATAAAATGACATGAAATTGCTTACAGTTCGGTGAATAGAATTCTTCTGAATTGCGGTGATTTCTCTTTTATAAGAAGCTGTATCTATTGTTGGATGATATACAGAAATAAGTTTATGACTGTTTAATCGTTGATTGACATTTTCATTCGTAATTAATACGTTTGTGATATTCAGTATTCCTGTTTTAACTATTATTTTTAGACATGATTCAAATATAAATTAATACAACAAAATATAAAAAAATTAATGGTATTTGGACTATGACCAATGCATGATAACATATAACATATAATATAACATATAACATATATTATATATATGATATATGTTATATACCTAAGTGATATATTAGTTGTCCATAACAGTAATTTTGTGATCGATTTAAAAATAATTTTGTTATTGCAATCATTTATTTTATTTTAGGGACTATTATTAGGACAACCTCAAAGAATTTCAATTTGTTATTGAAAAATATATATTGAACCAATTGAAGTGGAAATGAATACTTCCAAGATTGAAATAGATGATCAAAAGTAAATTTAGCTTATTTAGTTCTATCTCTATTAATATCTTTAGGCATATTGTATACAAATTATTGTTTGTAAGTAGAAAAGTAATTGATATAAGTTAAAACTTTTTTTTGTTATTGTTATAATTTTTTTGACTTTAGAAACTACCAAATGCACAACTTTGTAAAGTCTCAATTCTTTAATGAAAACTATTATGATAAAAATTAAGTGGAAATGAATGCTTCAGAGAGTGAAATATATTATCTAAAGTAATTTAAGTTTATTTATTCTTCCCTTGTGTTGCATGCCGTTAGTTTAGCAGCTTTGATGTTAGGAAGACAAATATGATGTTTAAAATATTAACTCAACATTAAATTAATTACTATTTATTGTAAAAATTGTTGATGTTCAAACAATTAAATTATAAAATAGACTGGCTTAAAGGTGCTTGCTCCTATCGGACTAAAACACATCCAAATGTTGATCTGTTCATGACTTCCTTATATACTCCATTTCTTGTATGATACTGTGATCCTCCCAAGAGATAATTATCTTTGACCTGGACATAATCTATGTTATGTTATAAACATCTTTCCATATTTATCATATAATATACATTCTATATTTAATACCTGGGTTGTTCATTTTTACATCTATTATATATTCAATCCTCTGTTCATTCATACTTACTATATATTATGCATTTTATATTTAATCTCCGGTCAGACTAAGTTATATGCATTTCTAAATTGATTACCCTGGTGGTTGGTCTTGCGACTTGGGTGAATTACATAACTAGAAACCGGATTTATATTCGCTTAAAATCTTAAAAATAAGATGATCTTATGGTTTATAATTTCATCAAAATAATCTATTATATGTATAAATATTCTATTTTAGAAAAAAATATATTAAATACTGAAAAAATAAATAAAAGTAACAGTTTATAAAACTGATAGATTTTTTTCTTTATTAAAGTAATTATAATATAGTTAAATTAATCCTAACCTTTAAAAAAATATTCAAATATTCATATTTAGTCTATACTATAGTGATAGTAACTAAAATTCAGATTTATTTAAAAATAATATAAATAACATGTTTTAAATAATAAAAATAAAAAGCCAACTCCATATATCAATAAATAGTATATATTAGTACACTTAAACGAGCATTTACATGTTAAGTTAATATATTTAAAACATATACCCATATTGGAGCATTTATAATACACTACAATATTACAATAATGTCATCCATTTACAAATCATACATGAAGAACACCCTTTATCTATGACCATTCTATGTTTATAAAAGGCTAGTCTATTAGTATAAGGCACATATTTTAATTTGTGGTTAAGGTTTATGGATATCAGTGAAGTTTTTCTTTTTATATCTCGTTACTAATCAGAATAATTTGTTTTCTTACCAATGTTATGTTCTTATTAATATTATTTTGCACATTTTGTCTTGAAAAGGAAATGGACTGACAGAGATCAAAACCATTTATGTATTTTTTATAAACCATTACTCTTTTTATAAAATGTTCAAATTAAATCTCAATATAGAAGTATGTTCCTAAAACATATTATTTTGCACAATATATTTTTTTAACCTTGAAATATGCTTTTTTATGCTATCAATTTTTTTGTATTGATTGGAAAATGGATCATGTAGAAAGTTAAGTTAAGAGTATATAGCATACTCTCAGTAAAAATATGTAAGACATAAAAATCTGGTCTCTATACATAAATAACAATTTATGTACCATCACTGTTAGATTGGTATTTGTGTACTATCATTCAGCATGAACCCATGTTCTTTTTAATTTCTGCAACCATACTAGCGGTGTCTATATTTTATGATTATAAAAAAAGATATTCTAATTGCTGCAACACTATTTATGTGATCCTTCTGTGTAATAGTAATTGTAAGGGCAGACATATATGTATGTATGTAACACTTGTTTAGGTATTAATAAAATGTATTTTGTTAATGAAATATTTATTTTATTTTAGGAAGTATCAAAAGATGTATAACCTTAAAGAATTTCAAATTGTTGTTGAAAGATGTGATGAACAATATCAAATGATAATGAAAGCCTCAAAAACTAAAAAAAATAATCTAAAGTAAGTTTAGGCATTTAGTATTTCAGTAATCAGTTTCAAGTTTTTCATCATATATTATTTTAAAAATATATTTTACATAGAAAATCTAAAAATATATTGCAATTTATATTTGTTTTTAATATAAAATTATTTTTATAACATCTAAGAGTGTACATATAGGTATGTCTGTAACACTTATGTAGGTGTTAAAAAAAATGTATTTTGTTAATGAAATATTTATTTTATTTTAGGAAGTATCAAAAGATGTATAACCTTAAAGAATTTCAAATTGTTGTTGAAAGATGTGATGAACAATATCAAATCATAACGAAAGCCACAAAAACTAAAAAAAATAATTTAAAGTAAGTTTAGACATTTATTATTTCAGTAATCAGTTTCATTTTTTCATCATATATTATTTAAAAATATATTTTACATAGAAAATCCAAAAATATATTGTAATTTATATTTGTATTTAATTAGTAAAATTCTTCATCTAAGGGTGTACATATAGATATATCTGTAACATTTATGTAGGTGTTAAAAAAAATGTGTTTTGTTAATGAAATATTTATTTTATTTTAGGAAGTATCAAAAGATGTATAACCTCAAAGAATTTAAAATTGTTGTTGAAAGATGTGATTAACAATATCAATAAGATTTAACAATTATAAACAATAGGATTTAAAGTTAAATCGAATCCTATAAATTACATAAAAAAGCATGATATCTTATCAACTGCTAGTATATTCATGCCATACATCACACATTGTTGAATGTTTAAGTAAAAATCGCAAGTAAAATAATAATCAATAACTTTTAACATATAATTAATAAATATTTTAAATTAGAATGATCAAAGTTGAATTGCAAACATCAAAATAATACAAAAACATAGGTCTACTCAACTCATTATAAAAATTGTTTTTATCTTAAATTTATTGCAAAAAAATACCAATCAAAATAACAACTTTCTTGAAAGTAAATTGGAACTTTTACAAAATTCGTTTATAATTTAGTTGAGAATTTTATTATTCTTTATTACTAATAATTAGTAAAGCTTCCAAAAGTCCTAATGAAGTTCGCAAACGCGTTTTAAACATTTTTAGTTTTGAGAAACAATGTTCACAATTGACTTTAGTACAAGCAACTGTTAATATTAATTTGTAAGTTAAGTATAAATTAATGTAAGCTGAAGAATGAAAATTGTATTTATGTAGAAAGTGAAATACACATGAAAGATAATATTTGCAATCATTCTCTGAAAATAAAAATATTAGTTTTTATGAGTTACTTAAAACTTGAGTATATTTTATAGACTTAAGTTATTTTCTTGAAAATTCTATACATTTACCTAAATTGAAGGGCTCCGTACAAGAACGAGATAACTCCATTTTTTAAAACTTTTCAGGTAACAATAAAGTTATTTTAAAAATATTTAAATAAAGATAGCATTAATTTGAAAAACAATTTAGATACCAATTAAGATTATATAATTTAGATTTAGATAAAAAAAGATTCCTTAGTGATTGAATTGATTTTCTTATTTCTTTGAAATGAAAACTAATATTAACCTAATTTTTTTAGAGTTATCTTGTTATATTTATTAATTTATTATAGTTATTTAACTTTATATTTATTCATTTTTCATCAATTTGTTTAATTCGTTTAACTATACTTGTATGTATCATTATTCAGACAAATAAATAACAAGTATAATAGAAAACAAAATAAACTGCACCCGGCAAAACTTTATTAAAAGTAACAGAAATAATGAGGGCTCGGAAGTTGATAACCTTAAAAACATTAAAAAAATGACATAAAATAAATAACTAATATTTTGATTTATAAATTTATCAAAGCTTATAAATTATTCAAAAATCAAAATAATTGTATTGTACAATCAGAGCATATTTGATAAAAAGTAAATGAACAACGATTATCTATTTATAAATATTTATATTTGGAAAAACTTCTTTCCACATCCACTAAAATGATTGGGACGAGCACTAACCGACGTTTTAATTTTTCGTCATTTCGAAAATTTTACGAAAAAAATAATAAATTTAGATATTAGATAGTAATAACAAAATAATCAACAAAATTAAATAAATTACCTAATATAGTTATATAACAGTTCAGTTCATTAATAAAACAAAATTAATAATGTTTTATTAACTTTCTTTTTATTATATTTCTAGGTTATATATGATATAGTATCTTTCTTATCATTACAACATCTCCTTCTTTAGGAATACAATATATAGAAACTTAATAAATATAGGTACAGAATATATGATATGCTTATACATTACAATACTTAAATATGATGTTTACTAACTAAACAATTCAAATACTAATTATTATTTCTTAAAATTCTACAAATTAAGTTTATTTGGTTTTTTAGTTTGTCTACCAGCTCTTGTTATAATACCCCCTGTAACTTCTTTTTTCATACTCTCCTCTAGTTGCTTTTTGTTATTATTGCCCGTGATTAAAGTCTGACTCCCAGAACCTTTACTCTCAATATTGTCCTCTTTATTTTTATCTTCCTTACTATCCTCATCCTCTTCTTTATCTATGTTCGTAAAATCATCATTAGTAATATAATTATCGTTGATCTTAAATTTCTTTTTTATATATCCATTATTTCTTCTTAATACTTTCCCTTTTGCATTTTTTACATAGTATGACCTGGGCCACTTTGTTTTCTTTATAATCTCTCCTTCATCCCACTCTTTTTTAAACTTATCGTATATATACACTTTTTCACCTTCTGTAAATTGTTTTTCCTCGGGCCCTGCAGTCTTATCATACCAATATTTCTGATAATTTTCTTGTTTTTGCATTTCTCTAGCACAATTTACTAATTTTGGTTTAAAAATATTTGGATTTAAAAAATTGGTAAGTGTTCTTAGCTCCCTTGCCATTAACAATTGTGCAGGTGAGTATTCCAATCCTGCCACTGGACTGTTTCTATAATTGAGTAAAAATAAATTGAGATCTTTTTTCTCATATCTAGCTTTGGTTATCATCCTTTTTGCTATCCCTACTGCTTTCTATGCCAATCCATTACTTTTTGCATAGTATGGGCTAGACAATATTACCTCAAATAGCCACTGTTTGGCAAATGTTATAAACTCTTGTGAGCCACAAGGATTATTATCAGCAACTACTTGTTTGGAATTCCAAACCTACTAAACACACTTTTTAATAGCTCAATAACTGACTGACTTGTTTTGTCTTTTAATTCTAATACTTCTAACCATCTGGAATAATAATCGATTATTATAAGATAATTATTACCAAATATTTCTGCTATGTCTAAACCTACTTTTTGAAAGGGAACACTTGGTCTTTCATACTGTTTTAATGGTTCTTTAATTTTTTTAATACTAAATTTTATGCATGTTTCACATATGCTAATTGCATTTGTTATATCTGATGCCATACCAGGCCAAAAATAATTTGTTTGCTTTTTTTCAAAGTTTTGCTTATACCTAAATGTGTTTCGTGTAATTTTTTAATAATGTACTTACACATACCTCTAGGTACAACCAAACGATATCCATAATAAATTAAACCTTTTTCCAACATTAACTCATTTCTTATTTTATGATAGTGTCTTATATCCCCTAGACTATTTATTTTTTTAGGCCATCCCTCTCTTAAATACTGTTCTACTAATTTTAATGTATTATCTTCTAATATAGCTTTTTTAAATTCACCCTCTTTATTATTTTCAAATTTTACGTTAACAACCTCCATAGTATGTACAATATCTTTAAGGGTATCATCCGTTTTCTCAATTTTTTGCTTATAATTTCTGCTAAGCAAATCAGCCACATATAAATATTTCCCTGGACAATACTCTACCTTTAAGTTATAAATCATCAAGTTTATCCTCATTCTTTTAATTCTGTTATTATATTATTATATTATTATATAAAATTATTATTTAATTCTTTATTCATTATTGAGAATAACGGTTGGTGATCCGTTTGTACCGTAATTACTTCCTGTCCATAAATAAGCCTATGAAATTTTATACATGAAAACTTAATTGCTAACATTTCTTTTTCAATTTGAGCATACACCTGTTCAGTTATACTTAAACATTTAGATGCATAATACACCGGTTTATCTTTCTGAAATAGGCAACATCCAATGGCCTTTTGTGATGCATCACATTGAATTCTGAACTCATCTTTAGCATCATAATTGGCTAATATAGGAATTTTTGATAAAATGTTTTTTAATGTATTAAATGACCTCTCACAATTATTACTCCATAACCACCTACTATCTTTTTTAATAGCGCTCTCATTGGCTCTACTATATCTGCCATATTTGGTATAGATGCCCTTAAGTAGTTCACCATTCCCAATACTGATTGCAGTTCTTTCAAATTAGTAGGACTTTTCAACTCTAATATGGCCTTTATTCTATCCTCATCTGGTTCTACTCCTTTTTCACTAAATTTCAAACCTAAATATTTTATTTCATTTTTTTGGTATTGTATTTTGTCTGGGTTAAATTTTATATTTAATAACCTGGCCCTATCCATTACTTTTTTAAGAGCCTCGTCGTGTTCTTCCTTTGTTTTACCATAAACTAAAATGTCATCAATGTATATACACACATTTTGAATATCTCCAAAGTATTTGTTTGTCAATTGCTGGAACAATTCAGGTGCACACGCTATTCCGAACGGTAGTCTATTAAAATTGTATGTACCATATGGTGTACTAAATGCACAATATCTTTTTGAACCTTCTTCCAACTCACATTGATAAAACCCATCTTTTAAGTCCACTAACGTATACAATTTTTTATTCATTAATTTATTTCTTACTTCGTCTAAGGTTGGAATTTCAACCATTTCTCTCACAATATTCTTATTCAAGTCCCTAGGGTCTAAACACATTCTAAGTGATTTATCCGGTTTCTCAATTACTACTAAATTGTTTTGCCATTCACTTGGCTCTTTACTTTTCTCAATTATTTTCTTATAACATAACATTTTTTAAAAGTTCCTTTAACTTTTCCATCAATTTTATGGGGACACGTCTGGGACTATTTATTATTGGTACACTTCCATGTTTTACCTTTATCTTCACTTTGTCTGGAAAGCAGCCAATGCCTGTGAATACATCTAAGTGGTTTTTTATAAACTTTTCTGTACTAACTTCTTTTTTTATCTCATTTAATTCACTTATGTAGTTCAATCGTTTACAATCCATATACCCTAAAATTGGGTTTCCATCATATTCCACCACTTCAAATATTGCAATAATTTGTGCTGACTGATTTACAACAGTTACCTGTACTTTACCTAATGACTTAATTATTGCACCACCAAACACTTTAATTACCACATTACTGTTTTTTATTTCTGTCTTTAATTTTTTATAAAACTTATTCGACATTACATTTAATCGCGCCCCTGTATCAATCTTTACTTCAGTGTTTATATCATTAATTTTAACCTTTTCTAACCAAATGTTATTATTATCTTTGATACCAATTTCATCTAATGTCAAATATTCTATACTCATATTATCACTTTCACATTCAACTATGTCAACTTGGTTTAAAATGGTTTAGCTTTTTACATATCCTACACTCTTTCCCATATGCCGGACATTCCCTAAATTTGTGTTGCTTACCACATTTATTACAATTAAATATCTTATCTTGATCATTCTTCCAGTTGTTGTGAGTTTGATTCTGTCTTCTGTCCTGTTTCTGCTCATTTCCTTGATCCCATGTTCTTTTCTTGTATTGCTCCATTACATAAATTTCTTTAGTTTGATCTTCCAATAATTTGCTGTTCACCTCAGCTTGTTCCACTGCTTGACACAATTGAATTGCTTTATCCAATGTTAATTCTTCTCTCAGCATTCTGGTTTGTAACTCTTTGTTTGCTATCCCCAATACGATTTGTGTTCTTAGTAATCTGTCTTCAATTTCTCCAAAATTACACGTTTTAACCAATACTCTTAGTTCAGTACAGTATTTATCAAATTTTTCATCACACAATTGTTTTCTAGTAAAGAATTTAAAATGTTCCATTGTTTCATTACGTCTATGTATACAATAATTTTCCAAGTGCTTTAAGATTGTCTCGACCGTTTCTTTTTCATCTTTAGGTCTTTTCATTGATCTGTACAACTTCAGCCCATCCGTGCCAATTAAGTTAAGTAATCTTGCTACCTGTGTTGTTTGAGTTTTTAGAATCTTCTCTGCTATATTACCGCATAATTTTAAGCTTTCCGGTTTGTTGAACTCCATTTTTATCTGTTCTAATCCAGATTTTTATAGATTCCTGAACGAAATAACCGACTGCGCCATGTTTTATTATATTTCTAGGTTATATATGATATAGTATCTTTCTTATCATTACAACAAATAATACAACATTAAATGTTTAAAAAAAATAAGAGATTATAATATAAAAATTGATTAAAAATCATTTTCTGAACTATTACCAATCCTACTGGAACATTCTTCTTCAACTAGTGTTCTATTAAACCATATATATTCTGGAGGAACATATTTTGATGCTAAAGTCTGGATATCTTGAAATCTTGCTGACTTAATGCATAACAGTCCATTATATAAATTTGGCATATTTTCTGGTAGCTTTACTTCTGCTCCTTTTTTTCGAGTAAGACTTGCCAGATATATTATAAAATAATCCTTCAGAACTATATTCTATATATCTATAAGCCATTACAGTAAATTTTGATTTGTCAACTCCAATAACAGTCTTTTTAAATTTAGATATCATATTTTCTAAAAAATTAAATAGCATATCTTGCGTCACTTTTAGGGCTTGACATTTTTTGGATGTTTTGGTAAACATTTCTTGGTAAAATTCGGATATATACACTCGTTCTATTTTTCTTCTTATTTTTTCTATTCGTCGAAAGCCTCGGTCGTAAATTTACTTCTATTTCGAGTTATGTTGTTTTGTTTCAGAATTTATTTCAGCATCAATCTTTACTTTTACTTTTTGATAAAGTTAGTTGTTTGCGAGTTTGTCCACTTTTTCCTGAAGTAATAATATATGATTCTATGCAGCTATATAATCAAGATTTTTAGTTTTTAAATATGCTGAAACTGGCATTGATGCTTCAAATATATATATATATATAAAAAAAAAGTGAAACTTGTTATAATAATGTCCAAGTTGGCTCATTTTTCTAATAGAATACGGACGTCAGAAGCTGTATTAGACAGCCTAGTGATATCCTAACAAATTAAATGCTTCAATCAAGTTAATAAATCGATAGCGGTTGTCATTTGGCGTCAAAGTCGAATGAAATATCTCTTGTAAAGCATGATGTTTACTATTCCATCTAGTTATTCCAATTTTTTTCAAGTAGTTTTTCGTTTCTAACTAGAGAAGCTACTATACGTTTACAGAGATTAGATCTTTTATAAGAGTATGAAAAAAATTCTATGGTTTTTTGAAAAATATTAAATACGTTTTTAGAATTCAAAACACTCAAAGTCGTATTACTTATTACTAGATTAAGGATGTGAGCATTAAAATGTGTATAAATAGACTTGGGAGAATCTTCCTTTAAAATATTTTGAAGTCCTTTTATTGCCCACTCATATTTGCTGTCCCGTTGAAAGAATTACTTATCATTACTTATACATTTTTTAAATCAATTACTAAAGAAATTAACTCTGCCTTTATTAAATTGTAGTGAGCTTTACTAAAATTATCATACTGCGCACAAATTTTAGTAAGTTTTTCATATATTTCACCATTTAAAACATGACAGACACATATACTAAGTTGATCTGTAACAGAAATGTCTTGAGTCGAATCTACTTTGAGATAAAAGGCTTTTGCTGCGATAACATCATCTGCAATAGATGCTGAAATTAAGTTGCCTATAATAATAACAATTTTATTAACAGATTAATTGTTTTACTTAAATTGTTATTATAAATTACCTGTTCAATTATATTAATTTATACACATATCTAACCAGTTGACTTTGTCCATTATTAATAGAAAAATAATGTATTTTATGTAAATTCAAGCATACGAAAAATTTAAAATTAATTTCTATACTATTTAATTGAACTCGGAAGTTCTAGCGAATACATTTATTTTCTGGGAATTCTTTAAACTTTAAATGAAGATACAAATTTGTTTCACACTTCCCCGATTTTGTATAGGTAATTTTTTTTTCCTAGTTTTTGCAAATTTAATATTTTTAATGCTATTTTGCTAATTTAGAGTTTTAAGTGCTATTTTAAGCCTATTAAAGGCCATAATAAGGCATATTCATATATAAAAAAGAATAAACAAAATTGTTTAACAGGTTAACTGCAATGGCTTTTTTTGATGCTTTTAACATGCTGCTAAGTGTACCATTTATGGTACACGGCTGAACATTATTATCGAGCCACATGTACCATTTAATGTACATTCGATTAATTGACTTTAGTAACTCTGTGCGCCAAAATGGGTACACGTAAATGCGATTTTCCTATGAGTGATGTTTGTGTGGCCTCATAGTAATGTTTTAGTAAAAATAGCGAAACAAATTTATAAATTTTTAACATTTTAATCAATATTTTTATTAATGACATGATACTAAAATATAATTATTAATTACTATTACAATATATTTTTATAATTTTATTTTGTAACATAATTCATTTTTTGTATTTATGATTACGAAAGAAACAATCAAAACAAAAGTATGAATCTCATTTAGGACAAATCTCGTTGATATGCGAAAGGTTTGCTTTTTTGCTATCTACGTTCCTGTAAAAAAAATGTATTTAATTAACACAATAAAATACAACAAATAATTATAATATTACCTTCTGTTCGAGAAATATATTTTTAGCAGTTATTACAACGACCTCTTTTTTTTTTTTTGACCAACGTATATTCATCATATGGTTCTAGAACTTCTAGAACTTCTGGACCACTGTTTGATTGCTGAATCAATTCATTAATAATGTCGTCTTTGAACTGGATAATTGTCTTAGAATTTCCAGTGACTTCTTTAAAAATACTAAAAGTATTCAATAATGATGTGTTGCAAATAATATCAATAGCAATCTTACGGTACCACTTCATACCTCTTAGACAGCTACTATAAGATCCCATTTGATCACTTAAATCGATGTATCCTTTATCACGGTTATAATTGATAACAACTTTTGGTTTTATTTTAATTCTTTTAGTCATGACTTCTTCCATCGTGTTTGAATGTTTTGTACTTATCATAAGAACATCTCTATGGTCTCTCCATTTTAGTACCATAATTTCGCAATCACTCCTTTTTGCAAATATTTCTCCCCTGTTAAGTTTTTTTTGTGTTACATCTTTAGGGTTTCTTTTTCTATTTGATCTAAGAGTTCCTACTAAATGTGTTTTATGTCGCAATAATTTTTCAGCTAAGTCAATGGAGTTATACCAATTGTCTGCGTACAATGTTCTACCAAAATTGAGATATGGTTCCATTAGTTCCATCACTACTTTACATGAAACCGAATCACCTGTCGTCGCTTCTTTTCCTGCATATATTTTATATTTTGATGTATAAAAGTCCCGTGTACACAGCTTAAAGATTTTGACTCCATAACGATGACGTTTATTAGAAATATACTGCCGAAACGATAAACAACCCAAGTAAGGGACCATAGACTCATCGATACAAATAGACTCTTCAGGAATTATTGCGCTATTGAATTTTTCGACAAGTAAATCAATCAATATTTGGATTTTGTATAATCTATCATTAGTAGGAGCATTGTCATTATCAAAAATGTTTAACATACTCAAAATAATTTCAAACCTATTTTGGGACATTTATTTTGGAATATTGCAATAATATAATTTAGAATTTTTCCAATAATGAGCAATTGATGGCAATTTCACCATACCCATCCACATAACAATACCGAAAAACAGTTTAATTTCTTGTTCATTTGTGTCGACCCATTTTCTAATTCTAGCATGTTAAGATAAGTGTGCTGCGTTCTTTTTAGAATTAGTTTACCTGTTTTTTTCAACCACTAACATGTCAATAATTTCTTTGTCGAAAAAAAGATAAAAAAAAGTCGATAGGACTTGCGTCAGACATTCAATTATATCTAGATTTATTCCTGTAGTATTTATATCAGGATTAAAAATTATATGACTATTTAGCAGTGAATTAGAAAAATCGTTATTCCAATTATTACCAATCATATTAATAGTTACGTTATAATTATCCGATGATTCATGTTCGTAAATATTTTCGTCCGGTTCATTTTCCGAGCTCCAGTTTGGATCAGCGTCAGTATCGTCGTAATCTTCCGAATATGTGCCAGAATCTGATTCCAGCATAGCTTCTATTTCTCGTCTATTCATTTTCGATTTCAATATTTTTTAAATAAAAAGATGAAATTTGAAATGGTTACGAGGCAACACAATGCGATAAAATACAACTGTCTACCAAGGCAAACCCGTATATTATAGCTTGTCGATAGCTCGTATAGAACTTAAAATAGTAATTAGAAATAATAAACAAGATATAAAAGGAAATCCCTAAAGAATAATAAAATAATTTCATGTCTAAATGAGCGATAAGATAGTCGTTCCAAGACATGGATATTATGCGTACTATCTAGAAATTACTTGGCTAATGCTTATTAGCAGGGCTCGAGACTTTTAGCACTAAAAACCCATGAAATATGAGCTATAATATGCCTTAAAAAATAGTAAAATATGCACTATATTATGCTCAATAAAAAAATTAAATATGCTCTAAAAAAATCTAAAAACATTTATTTTAATTAATTTTAATTCTGAAAATATTTATTTATATATAATTCAATTCTAAAAAACATTCACGAGTGTTCTTCTTTTTGTCGACCATTATACATACGTATCATTTCTTCATTCTATAAAAATAATTGGTAAAGTTCAATAAATCAGTAAGTAAGTAAATATTATAATTTATAAATAACAAATTTTAAATTTTGGTTTTTACCTTGAAAATTGCACTGTATTATTACGTGTTTGTAAGTATTTTAAAATTTGAACGATCTTCTATTATTGGTTAGAAATGTTTTGTACGTTGAAAATGAACGTTCTACATCGACCGATGTGATAGTGGCGAACTTGAAGTATGGAACATTACTACAAGTAATATCATATGGAAAACTATCTAATTTTTTGATGTCTCTTATACCCAATAAAATGCGAGAAATTTTTTTCAAAAGTGATAGACCAGTATTTTTTTCTAAAACTCGTTTTAATTTTAACTGTATTTTCAATCCAATTGGACCTCGTAAAGTTCCAAAAGATTTTTCTACATTCTTCTACATTTTTCTTAACTATTTCAATATAGTCAGATAATAACAACCCATGTGTTTATAATTTTTTTAAAGATGAGTAAGAAACAAAGAATTTGATTTGATGAAAATAAAATCTTTGTCTATTCCGTTTTTATTGATACATTTTTCGCTTCTTTAATGCTGACTGCATTTTCAGTGTCAAGTAATTAAAAAAAAAGCCGCATTTACTTTATAAATGTGAATGATTGAACGAAATAGTTTTTAGGCCGAATCGGCGTTCACATTGAACAGTTTTAATATAAACGCGACTATATACGTTTTTACATTTTACTTTTGTAAAATAGAAATTAACCTTTTGGTGTTCACAAAACTCACAAAACTACTTCATTTTTTTTGATTAACAAATTATATGCAAAAAATAGCATGAAACTTTAAAAAATAGTAGAATATATCCAAAAACCCTAAAATATGTCAAAATATGCTCTAAAAACTTTTAAAGCTGCATTCCTATTACTATGAAACGGATTTGTAGCTTACTCTGCTATGTTTTAACATCCTATGAATAAATATGCAAATGCTAGAAGTTTCGAGCCCTGCTTATTAAATTATTATTAGTCATGATGATTAAACTAATCGTGTACAGTTAATGGTGCACGTGGCTCTGCAGTTAAAAATTAAGTTTAAGTAATAACGCAAAGCCGCGTGTACTATTTTTGGTACATGTTAAGATAATTAATTTTTTGGTATAAATAATTACATAATAACCATTCAAATACTAAAAGCATAAACTTAAAAGCTTATTTTATGATTATTGTGGTATAGCGTAATGGACAAACATTGTAATAAATTGTATGAATTGCTTGGTAATGCAACAGTTCTTGGACTTCCTGAGTTTCCGCTGATACTTCATCCTGTGACGAATTTACGTTTCTCTCAAAGTCTTTTGACTCTAGTTGTTCTGCCTGTGCTCTTGTAGTTACATGAATTCGACTAAGTGCATCTGCGTTTGTATTTATTGCTCCTGGTTTATAATGTACTTCATATTCATATTCTTCAAGCTTTAATCTCCATCTTGTTAATCTCAATCCAGGATCTTTGATACTGAATAACCATCTAAACGCTCTATGATCAGTGATAATATTGAATTTTTGGCCTAAAAGATATAGCCTATACTGTTTTAGTCCCCATACAATAGCATATAATTCTTTTTCTGTAGTACTGTAATTCTGTTCTGCACGATTGAGAGTCCGCGATGCATACGTAATTGTCTGCAAATGTATAAATAAATGGAAGGTCTTTGCCTATCTTTCCTTGAGATAAAACGCATCCTATTGTATAATTGCTAGCATCATAAGTTATGTTAAAAGGCTTATTGAAATCGGGATATTGTAAAAGAGGTTCTTCTGTTAATACAGCTTTAAGTTTTTCAAAAGATTCTTGATAAAGATCTGACCATATAAATGGAATGTCCTTTTTGAGCAATGTGGTTAGAAGTTTCGTAATGCTGCCATAATTTTGGATAAATCTTCTATAGTATTCAGAGAGTCCTAAAAATGACTTAATTTGTTTAGTATTGCTGGGAACAGAAAATTCTAATACACTTTTAACTTTCTGTGGGTTTGGATGAACCCCTTGATCTGTAATTATATGTCTTAAGTAACTGACTTCTTTCCTCATAAATGAGCATTTTGAAGGTTGTAGCTTGAGATTGAACTTCCGTAGTCGATCGAATACGTCTATGAGTTTCTTTCTATGGTCATGTTGACTGCATATACGATAATATCATCTAGGTATACAAATGCTTTAATTTCATTAATACCCATTAATACCAAATTCATCAGTCTTTGAAAAGTGGTAGGTGCCCATTTTAGAGCAAATGGTACTCTCAAGAATTCGTTATGTCCTTTTTCTGTTGAAAATGCAGTCTTCTCGCGATGTTCTGGGTGCATCTGTACATGGTGATATCCTTGAGTAAGATCTAGAGTTGTGTAATATTTTGATTTTTCTAATTGGTCTAGAATGTCTGCTATGTTTGGTAGAGGGTATGCATCTCCCGTTGATACACTATTGAGTTTTCTGAAATCTACGCAAACACGAAACTTCACTTCACCATTTTTGTCTAGTTTCTTGGGAACCACCAACAAAGGTGTATTCCACGGGCTTTTACTTGGTATAATTATTTTGTCTTCTTCGAGTTTCTGTACTTGCTTATTGATTTCTTCTTTGTGCCGGAAAGGTAATCTATATGGTTTGTCGTTAATAGGCCACGTTGCTGATTGAACATTTATTTCATGAAGCACTGCATCTGTACAAGTTAATACGTCTCCATCCAAATGAAATATGTCCGAGTATTCTTCACAAGTGTCTAATACTGATGCCTTTTCTTCATCGTTTAGATTTTCAGTTTGTATTATTTCACTGAGTTGACTTAATCGTTGACTGTTTGGATTACTTAGAGGTTCTGAGTTTGTAATAAGGCATTGTTTATTTTCTTTGAACGTTTCATATGATAGTTGTTGTAGCTGAGGATTTTCTGCTTCAATGTCGTGTTCAGAAGAATTTATTACTGAGATGAGAGTTTTTATTATCTTTTACTTTAACGATTGTATTTCCACATACTAGATTATTTGTGATGGTCTGCGCATGTATTATCAACTCTGTATCGTTAGCTACATTATTAACATTTACAACCATTATTGATTCTGTGCAAGCAGCTATTACACATCAATTGCCTTTTATTTAGTACTTCTTGGTTTGCTTGAAAATCAATTATTAGTTTATTATTTTTTAAAAAGGGTTTTCCTAAAATTCCTTCATGCAGTGTATTAAAATTTGGATGTACCACATGAAATTCGATGGATATTTCATTGTTACATATTTATAGAGTTAGTTCCACCTTACCGAGGGTCTGCGTTGAATGCTCATTAATGCCTGTGAGTCTGTAGCAAATTTCTTCGTTTACCAATACTTGTGGATCTAATACTGATAATTTGATCAAATTTAGATCGCTGCCTGTATCTAATAATAGTTTAACTTTATTAGGAACGGTCTGCTTGATTTCAACTATGAGATGGTCTTCTTTTAATTCTATTGAACATGTGAGTGCTCTTGCAATTGGATGATGGCTGCTTGAAGGTCTCCCGCCGGGCGTGTGCCCTGTGCCTGGCGTTTTGAGTTTTTCCATTTTTTTCGAGGAATCTGATGTTCCTTGTTGATTTTTTGCGTCTTTTTTTGAATTATTATACAGTCTCTTCCTACATTCTGCAATTTTATGTCCTACTTTTTTACAATAATTACAAGTTATTTGATGTACACTTTTCTGACTTTGATCTGACCCATTTTTCTGATTTTCAGTTTTTTTCGTACAAAATTTAGCGTAATGTCCTTTTATTCCAGAATTGTGACAATTACCCGTTGTATGAGGGGATTGCTGGTTGCCTTTTGATGCTTTGCTGTTGTCTCTTAAATATTGCTTCGTTCCTCTGTTTGAACTTCTAATTCTTTCTTCTTCACGTGCGGCTTGAATTGCTCTTTCAAGAGTGTCTGGATTTTGGGCCTTAATATAATGTTTTAATTCTCCTAGTCCTTCCATGAATACCTGAATCACCTATTTGTTGATGGTTCGCTCGATTACTTTTGCACTTTCAGGACTAAGGTCAGCAGTTTCATGTTCAAGCAAGAGGTTCTGCAATTGTTCAATACGCATTGAATATGAAAGAAAATCTTCTCCATTTTTTTGTTTCATTGCGTAAAGTTCTAAGTATAAATATGGTGTTGTGCGTTATGGTTCCAGATTTGTTTTTAAAAGTTCACGAAGTTCTTCCCATTTTCAAAAGTTTTATATTTTACAACTTGGCGAGCTTTACCAACCAAACGTGTTTGGATTGCTTGTAACAATTTCGGTATGGCTGCCTCTACAATACGGTAACACTACAACTGACGGCAAATTCACATTTTTCTAGAAATAATTCGAGAGTCTCCATATCCTTTCCATCGAATGAATCTGGTAAAAGCCTGATAGCGTCTTGTAGACCTATTTGAGTACTTAACATTTCAGTTTATCCTTTATGGATTTGGGTTTGCGTACGTAGAGCTTCTTTTACGTTGTCTTCTATGAACTTTTTGATATCCATGTTGATTTCTTCTTGTCAATAATTTTGAGATTCATTTCCTATTTCTTCTTGATTAGTAGCCATTTTTGATAAATATTCCTGATTCTATCGATGGTGTACGTGATAACATAACGAATTGGTTTTATGACTTGATCGCGATGTAGCGTTAGTGTCGTCACTGTTCGGTTTACACTTTAAATTTACGGCACTAGATGTCGTCGCGTTCACGAGAAACCGGTGCTATCGACGGTGGCAATGAACTGGGCGTTGGCCGATGACGTAATTGAAATGTTCGGGTGGCCAACTATCACGCGATGTATTTCTATAATATTTGAATATTATGTTACCTGGATTTTGTTTTGTTTTTTTTTTCTTTTCTTCCTTTTTGATTTTCTGTTTGGTAGAAATTGTCCTATGTGGTAAGGTACCGGAATGTTTGAAAACACCGCTGCCACCAAATGTTGTGCGTGCTCTTGAAACACTGCACAACTTTATTATATTTAAATATAATAAAAATAACGGTACTGATATGAAGGAACAAATATCTAATTAATTTGACAAAAATAAAGTTTATTGAATTCCAATTGATGTTCTGACAGAGGTTCTGCTCATTGACACTGATACAACAACACTGCTTACTTACTAAAATGCGTCGTCCAGCCGAGGACCGAGCGAGCGGTTCTTGGAAGTAGTATATCCGCTAATACAATACCTAATGTCTTATTATCTATACTAACACAATAATATTATAATGTTATAATAATATGTAGGGGTTCCTAACACATGTTAAGATAATTAATTTTTTGGTATAAATAATTACATAATAACCATTCAAATACTAAAAGCATAATTTAAAAGCTTATTTTATGATTATTGTGGTATAGCGTAATGGACAAACATTGTAATAAATTGTATGAATTGCTTGGTAATGCAACAGTGTACCATATATGGTACACATGGCAGTTAGCCTGTTAAAAAAAAAGATTATGCCCCAAACATATTAAAAATTACATTACAAATATGCCAACAAAAACAATAATATTAATATTATTTTACATATTTATAATTAGGTACTGGAAATATTCCAGACAAAGTATTTCTCAAATACCTATTTCCATGACTTATATAAAACATGTAAAATTTAAAAAAATGAAAAATAAATTTATAAAAAAATTGTATACATTATATACATATATAATATTAAAATAAGAAAAAAATTGTCAATGAAATTTTGATTTCCATATTTACCAATTATTAGTGTTATTTATAGGGTTTATTATAGTGTTTTTAAGTATATATTAAAGCGCTAGAAAATTCCTTCATTAGCTCTATAACTTCTGAGCCCTGCTAATTTATTATATACATACATAAATATATGTTCGGCACTGTGTATAATGAGTCGTGATTTTGGATCATTTGAATTCATATACATTTGTTTTGGGAAATAATCAGAACAAATATATCTTTTTTTAAGTTCCTTCAGATTTAATCCTTCTAAGCATATGTTACCTAAAATTAAATTATAATTTACTCTAATTTTTTTCCATATTCGAAATGTATTGGATTACTAAAATCATTTTTAGTTACTGATTAAAATAAAAATATAACTTACGGGAATTTATAATCCATTTTTTTTGAAACATCAGTGTTCGATGGAAACACATTTTTACTCACTTTTCGAAATTTGAAACAATTACAATATACATACATTTATCACCACCTAAAATTTTAATAATTAAAATAAAAAATATAGTAAGCGTAAACTAATTTGTAAAAAATCACTGCAAAAAATAATGTGATTTATGATGACCAATATGTGATCTGATATTCTGATCGACACAGACGGTACTTGGAAACTATAACATTATATACACAATAGCCAAACATTATTTATACTTCTAACCTTAGAATTATTGAACATTTTGAATTTACAACAATGTCAATAGATAATATTCGTGCAGATTAATCGAACTATCTACAAAAAAAAATAAAATTTCTAGATCCAAACAACCAATGGATAAATAGTATATATATATATAAAATTTGAATACATTTTTTAAAGAACAAATCATTTTTTATTTGAAAATATACCAGTGTAATATTCAATTTTGTTAAATCTATAGATTTGATAGTTGTATTGTATAATTCTACATGTTTTATTAAATTAATATTATATAAAAACCACATTTTACAGTCCTTGCAAGTTAAAAGTTGTAGACCCGGGGACAAGTATAAACAAATATTAAATAAGTAGGTAATTTTTTGTATTAAATTTGATATTTGTAATTTATTATAATTGTATTTTTTTATATATTTTTTATGTTTATCATTCTTATAAGAATAGTTATAAAATATAGTATACTATAGTCATTAAATATGAATATTTGTTTTTTATTATTTAAAAATGATTGTATATCAAAATTACTTTTGTAGATAAAATTTATTAATCATCTGCCTTTGTCATTTTTAAAAAGATTAATATTATATAATAATATTCCATTTGAAAGTTTTGTATTATACTTACAGACAGAAAATATTGTATTTTTATACAACTTTTTGGTTTTATTTTATTTTTATGGACCCCGTTTCTGGCCATTTTAAATATATTATTAAATTTCATAGAGTTATTATACATTGCTATGTAAAATACAACAAAAACATGAAAAATTATCGACAAATATAATTAAGCATACATTTCGGGCATCATATTGCAATTCAGTAGATATTCGGCGATATCTATTGAACCACATACATTCATAATCGCGTTTCAACTACTCAATGGCTGGGAATGAACTTGAATTTAAAAAAATGAGTCTTAATTATTGAACAGCATAATAACTTCATTGCACCTAAAAAGCTGACATTTTATCTGGCATAGCAATTGAAAACAATCAAAACAATGTATCTTGTCAAATGAAAATTCTAAAATTTTAATTCAATTTGATTTTGAATAATTATATCCAGGAGGGAATCTAACACTAAGCATATATTGAGTTATTCAAAACAAAATTTTCAAATTTCATAAAAAAATAATGATAAAATGATTGATAACTTGGTTGATGAAATATTGAATACTACTGTACTTGGTAAGTTTAAATATAAAATGTAATTAATGTATTTAAACTAATAAATAATAAACATAAATACTATAACATTGGTGAATTTGAAAATTGAATTACAGGTCATAATAATGTTGCTGCCTTAAGTTTTAATAGTTATTCTAACATGAGTGATATACTGTGTTACTAACTTACTATTTCAACAGTGAACGCTGATTGAATTATTTACAATAATAATGTGTCAAATAATTAAAAGTATATCTGTATATATAAAACAGTAAGCTGATTGACTGCTATCAACGCACAGCTCAAACCATTGGACGGATCTGGCTGAAATTTGGCATACAGATAGCTATTATGATGTAGACGTGCGCTAAGAAAGGATTTTTCGAAATTTTAAAAATGAATACAAAAAATTGCGGTATAACTAGTATAATTTGTACTTACAAAAATGTCAGAAAAAATTGGATTTTGATAAATTCATATAAATTTACAAAATTAAATTAAAAAATATTATATAATAAAATTACAAATAAAATGAATGTATTAATTACCAACGAGATATTAACAATCTTCGATTTTCAAACAATAACTGTTATATTAATTTAACATGAGAAAGACAACTTTTTTAGTTTTAAAATGTGTTTATTTTTAACATATCTGTTAT